CCAGGAGACAGATATCTGTGAAGTAACAACCTGCAAAAAAAAAGAACTACAAAAATATTAGAAAAGCTTCAAAGAAAAAAAATGTAACAAACGCTGCAAAGTTATACTTACATGTTTACCTGGAATATACAAACCTATCCCTGTCATTGTCAGTCCACAAAAGTTTCTCCAATGTCGCGTTTCTCCAAAGTCGCGTTTCTCCAAAAGTCGCGTTAAAGTCGTTGCTCTATCTTGTAACTTATCGCGAGTAACTCACACCACAGAATTCAGACACGGTTTCTTTATTTGAAATTCTTTATTTCCATCGCAAGTGCAGCATACAGAGTGTGTAAAAAGTATCAAATATCAAAATTGACACAAAAATGTCTCCAAAAGTTGCGAAGAAGTCTTCTAACTAATCGCGAAGAAACTCACGCCACAGAATTCAGACACCATTTCTTTATTTCAATCGCAAATGCAACTTACAGAGTGTATAAAATGTATTAAACAAAAAAAAATTACCCATTTATTGCTGCAAGGACCCCAGTTCCCTTCCCATCATGGGGTAAAAAACACAAAAGATTGAATGGCCCGAACCCTAGATGATACTAGAAGGCTTGTAAAAGGACCCCCCTTCATTAAGCAGTATGAGGAGAAAAAGCACATGTTAGTAACGCATGCAGTCCTTAATTACATGGCTCACCTTGCTGGCATCTTGGTTGTGGCTTAACATAAAAAACAGGTGTCCTCTTGAGATCGTTGACTAGGCTAAAATTTGGGGTGTGCCTTGTGTTTACATTATAAATTTTTTGAAAACAAGAAGTTTTGTGCTTGACTTCCATCTACCCACCCCCCATAAATTTGTGAACCTGCTCTCTGAATCATCACACACTTTTACTAACTACGTCCCTGCTCTAATTTGGTTTTAAACTCACCTTATTTCTGGATCCTGATCTAAAGTCAAAGTGCGTGTGAACTCAGAGAGCAGGTCAAAGGCATGTAGAAGTACTGCCTTTTTAATTTACCAAATTCAAGCACCTGAAAGCTCTATCAAATTTTGATTCCAATGTGAAGGATTATCTTTATTCAAAGTCTTCATTCAAAACCTTTATTCAGAATCTTTATTCAAACACTTATTCATAATCTTTATTTAAAATCTTTATTCAATGTTGGCATTGGTCTCCTGCGTGGTCGTAGTCCCTTGTAGTGGGCATCTTCGGGAATGGCTGCAGTCCACAGGATCATTACTGTCCGCCTTTTCTCTTACAAGACGGTGAAAATAAAATCCATCTTTGTACTAAGATGGATGAAATAGTTACTTGTCCACCTTTTCACATACATGACGGACAAAAAAAATTAATTCCACCATTTCTCCTACATGATGGTGATAAAGTCCTAAAACTGTTCCATCTATTTAATTACTAATAGATGGATAGAATCATTTCTCATTCAGTGTTCCATCTTCTCCTTACAAGATGGTTGGGTAACAGGCATAACACTGTTCCATGCATTGTTTTAATTTTTTTTCAATCTTTCAAGATATATCCATATACATTGTAGTCTTATTACTGACTTCATTAAAACATATACAAAAAGCTTGAATATGTCCTTGGCAACTACAACCATATGAGTTTTCTTGTTCTTCTTCTTGACCTTCCATTCAGGTTTTCTTCCAGAGAACTACTAGTATATCATACATGTCTAGAAATTCTATCCCTTAGCCCCTTGTTTATGCAAAGGTATTCTTTAAGGTCTTTGTCACAAGGCACTTTATTTTCCAAAACGTTCCCTACATTATCTCAAGTTTAGTGAGCAAAGCCAAAGTAGAGCTTGGCTCAAATCCCCCCTCCCTTTCTAATATTATCAGCAGACAAGGATATCATACAAATCCTATTTGTGTTCTAGCTGTTCTCTTGATGCTTGCTTCCCTTCAAGTAGCCTGGAAACAAGTGACATCAGTAGACAGGAAGATCTGTAGTAGAGAGAGGATGGCAGATCTATAAGGAAGGAGAGAGAAAGAGAGACTTGTTAAAACTTGGTTATCCTGGCGAAAACACCAACAAGCTTATCCTTTAATATCACAGTTTGATACTGCAAAGACAAAGCCTTTTGACAAAATTGTCATTGAGTAAAAGAGAAGCAGCATATCAAGTAGGATTTCAACATGTAACGGTTTGAATTTTTCCTTCTGTTTCAGAAAGTCAGTGCATGGGATCAAATAGGTGCCGGACTCAGCATTTGTCCTGGAGACCATGGAGAAAGTACTTTTAAGAAAGCTGGAAATATCACAATACCATACCTGCTTGCTGGCATCAGGAAAGCTATTCTACATCAACAGCAGGGCAGACAGGAATCAACGACATCCCTCCTTTGGTATACGTATTCTGTCCGAAAAAGAAAAGAAAAATGTTATCATCAAAAACGCAACATGTTGTCAAAGTAACATGAACATGAACATAAGAAGTTATTGGTGTGTCTTAAGTGACTTGTAAAGGCAGATATTGTATGATAAGGAAATTTCACAATAAACATCAGTAGTTTTTAAAATTGCTGCAAAATGTGGGGAAAAGACAATAGCTTACTTAGTTCTGGTTCATAAATATCTGCTGGTGATCTTGGAGGGTTCTGCAGTTCGTTGCTGCTGAGCCAGGCGGCGCTGCTGAGCTGGAAGTGAGCAACAGGTGTCAGCGAATGTTTAAGATTCACCTCATGTTTTATCATAAGTTTCGCCAGAAATAAATATAAACGTCACAGTTCTGGGTGCCGAGGATTTTTATGGCTTTTTTGGGGGCAATATGTGAGAGAACATGATTATTTTTGTGCAAATTGTACCGCTACTTCGCCGGCCCTGTATGGGGCAATGCCAAAACTCGGGCGGGACCTTCCGATTGTTTGGGCCGAGCGCTGCAGTCGATGAACCCGGTATGGACCCGGATTTTTCTCAAAACGTCTCGAAAAATATAGCCAAAAGTAGTTTCTGGAATATTTTTCCCGGCGATTCTGAGGTAAACTTGTAAGACTTCACTACTTGTCATGATATTGACGTAAAAACTATCTCAGCTACACAGGTGCAATGATTGACAGCTCCGTCAGACGAGAAGGCGCCGGCGCTCCGTAGCTATATATTGTATATGACAGCCCAAAAAGCAAACACGTCAAAAATCAAAGAAGAAATGTCATAATTAACAAGAATGTGAAGTAAAATTCACACAACAATGTTTTTTTTATTAGCTTTTGTGAACTTCAGCTGGTCACGCGATCCGCGCCGAGCAATGCGTTGTACTGTAGGCGGGATCATGCACCTGTTATCCCGCGGGCCCAACTACGCACGACCGATTGACAGTTTTCTCAATTTTTCACAGATAAAAAAAGCTAAAAGTGACTCTACTACTTGTTGGAACTTTTTTTCCTGATGGTTCTGAGGAAAACTTGAGGAAAATTAAAAATTTTCTCGACCTTTTGACGATTGGGATCCACACCGGGCATTGCTAAAGTTGCGTACGGGGTCATGCTCCTCTTCTCCCGCCCGCCCAACTGCGTAGGGTCGCGGTACAATTTTCTCAATTTTTCAGGGATGAAAAAAGCTAAAAGTGACACTACTAAATGTTGGAACGTTTTTTCTGAGAGTTCTGAGGAAAACTTGAGGAAAAATAATCAATTTTCTCGACCTTTTGACGACTGGGATCCATACCGGGCATTGCCTAACGTTACGTACGGGGTCATGCCCCATCTCTCCCGCCGGCCCAACTACGCAGGGCCGCGGTACAATTTTCTCAATTTTTCACGGATGAAAAAAGCTTAAACTAAAGTTTAAGTGACTCAGCTACATGCCGAAGCAACTTGTCTGAAAATTCTGAGGTAAACCTGAGGAGAAATTTACAGTTTTCTTGAACATTTGACCAACCATCTAATTCATTGTGGTGACTCCGGCCATATGTATGGGGCAGCTGCAGACCGACACACGAAGAGACATTTTTCTCAATTTTTCTCAGATAAAGAAAACTAAAAGTAACACTATGACATGCCGGAACATATTGTCTGAAAATTCTGAGGTAAAGTTGAGGAAAAATATCAATTTTGGTAGGCTTGTTACCAACCACCCAAACGCCGGCCATATACACACGGGACCATGCTGACGACATCCCGCCTGCCCAACTACGAAGGGCCGCTTTAAAAATATTTCTCAATATTTCTCAATTTTTCACCAGTGAAGGAAGCTAAAAGTGGAAGTACTACACGTCGGAACATTTTGCCTGGAAATTCTGAGGTAAACTTGAGGGAAAACATAACGTTTACGGGAGAAACACTGACAGGAAAAATGTACGACAATCTCGTCATGCGTAAGGTCAGCCTATAATCCTACCGTGCATCACAAATCGTGAAAATATCGGGGAAACCGTGTCACAAATATCTTAAAATCAAATTGGGACATTTGGCAACGATATATAGAAACTATAGAAGATGAACTGTGGATATAATGTGGTATTTACCCGTAAAAATGGGGAAATTCTTACCTCAGTTCTGACGGGACGCCCAGGTCCAGTCTCGTCTGCAGGTGCAATGGCGCCAAAATTTTGAATGAAAGATTCTTTGATGTAACCTTGAACGTGATTGGCGCTCACAGGAAGGGACAAACCATTTGTTACATGGGTATAATGCTAACAGAAAATTATATTTCTTTTCTTTTTATCACCGTTTAAAATTGATTTCACAGATATTTTGTAACCGATAACACTGTTTTATTATTGGAAAATGTATACATCAGAGTTGATTCATTGTATCAGAGATGTATCCACTCAACCCCCTATCTTATAATGGTTGATCTCCCGCCGCGTAGAAAAGGGACATTTCATTTCCATTGAATACGTCCTGTAAGGGATGTTTCAGTAAACACTTTGGGGGAGGGGCGCTCAGACCCAGACGATCTGTTTAAAAAAATCCACAAAGTAAAACCAATGCTCTATAATTCTATAGTTCACGGAGTAGTGGCATGGTGTTCTCTTTTTCCCTACCAGTATGTAATTGTACATTTGTATATTCGGATGAGCATATCAGAGAATGATGTTCATCGTCTAAGAAAACTTATTCATATCAATAGTGTCAATACTTATGATAACAGATGTGGACAGGAAATAAAACAGGGTAGAAAATCATATATCATTTATAATACGAAGATTCCCTATACTAAATTAGAATCACTACTTGAAATCCACAACTCTTTTAAAAAGTATTTTCACCAGATAGAATTATGTTCCATTTTCACTCGTGCCAGTTTGCAGCAGAATAACAATTTCAATTATTTACAAGATAATTAACGTTAGATTCAGGACAGATCAACAATAAGTTATAGTTAAGTTCTCTCAACACTATATATACGCTGAAATTGGCGCTAAATATATACATATACATCATACAAGGCGTATAGATAGAACAACCACATCACAGCACATATCGACATACAATCATTATTTAAAATAAGCGAAACACGAGCTATTAAGTTAATAAAATCACAATCTCTACCCTTATGAATCTCAACTATGCATCCAGGGTTGTATTTTCTTTCGCTGACAAGTTGTTCTCAGAGTAGAATGGTTTCCCTTTCTAGTGCAAGCCTAGGCTCTCTTTCTGCCAGAGGGTGAGCGCCCGTATGCGTATGTACAATGTGGGAATAGACCCAAATTATATTTGTGTAGCAAACCATACAAAACGTTAAAAAAACTGTTCGTTCTCTCTATAACATCCGTTTAGTGATTTATGAAATCTCAGCGGTCGCAGCCAGTCTCTAGTGGACAGTGTCACATCGACGAAGACTCCAAAATATATATGGTGCTCGCAGGCACACTTCACGCAGATGCACTTTGTTTCGAATCAAGGTACGATTATGCTAAATATACAGTTGTTTCAGTAAGTCCGTATCCTGAGGACTTTTGAGACCCTTCCCTTGGCGTTGGCGTAGACCAGGAAGGACTCTCCGTGCATCTGGAAGAACTCCCAGTCGGCGCAGCTGGTGGTGGGGATGTTGTGGACAGGCTTGAACTTCTCCACTCCCTGCCATCTAGCGACGAAAGAAGGAAATGCCGTTTTTATCTATTCCAACATTTAGTATAAGACATGTCGACGGCACACTTAAGTTTTTTTTTCAACTTCTTTTTATGCCGCCACCAACGCAGACATACGGAAGAACGGACAGCAGGCGTACTCATTTTCACCTAAGTAAAGTGAAGAAATTCGTGTCAAGTGCCTTTCCCAAGGGCACAAGATCAGTGGTAAGACAGGATTCGAACATGGGACCTTTTGGTTCCGAGCCGGACGTTTTGTCGTTACGTCACACGAAATACCGTTTGATCAATTCAAGCAAATTTTCAAGAGGTGTAATCAAAGGGAACGAAAATGAATCGTCAGTATCTATTTCTCCACCAGTTTTCTTTACCTTAACAAGTATGTGAACTTGTCTATTACCTGTACACGACGCTGTCGACGTCGTTGCTTTCGCCGTCGTCGTACGAGTTGGCGACCACCAGGTAGTTATCCCTCCCAACCCGGAACGACTCCCAATCCGTGGCGCTGTCGTCATGACAACAACAGACGGTAAGGTTTTAGACCAATGATCATGAAGGCAAGAAACGAGATCCAGCAAAATGACAATACAAGTATACGTGACCAAACATGAAAGAACAGTGGCAGAAATAAAATCATGAAAATTCACGAACTATTGTTTAAGGGTCCGGTCACATACGCCGTACAATCGCAAACAGAAAGCACTCTCGGGACAATCGTAATTGTGCCGTACGAGAACCAGTTGTTTTGTTACGAAAAATCCCACGGTATCAAAATTGTGCGACGACCTACGATTGTGACCGCACAGTACCGTACAACAAATATGTACAAAGATGTATGTGAATATGTGAAAGTACAAAGGTACTACATATGCACCTGTGAGTTAGGATATTCTGGAACTCTTCAAACCGCTGTTTCTGCACGTTAAGCTTGTAGATGGTGGAGTTGATGCTGTATCTATAGGAGCTGTCCAGGGCGTGAGGCCCGTGGTTGAAGGCGTTTGCCGCCACGAGGAAATGCTCCTTCCCGATGTTCATGTACTCCCAGTCCGTACAACCCATGGTCTGGGGGATAAGCAGGAACGGGAAGATGAAACGTTATTGGACGATTAGAAATGAGAGAGTGTGTGGGAAACTTACTTGGAAATGATAAAGACAATTGCATAAACGAATTCTCAAGTCTACAAGCTAAACTGTACTCTAAGTTCCGACAATGCGTGGGAAACTTACTTGGAAATGATAAAGACGATTGCATAAACGAATTCTCAAGTCTACAAGCTAAACTGTACTCTAAGTTCCGACAATGCGTGGGAAACTTACTTGGAAATGATAAACACAATTGCATAAGCGAATTCTCAAGTCTACAAGCTAAACTGTACTCTAAGTTCCGACAATGCGTGGGAAACTTACTTGGAAATGGTGAGCACAATTAGAAGTGCAATGTGTGGGAAACTTACTTACAAGTGCATATTCACAAGTCTACGAGATAAACTGTACTAATAGAATGACCTCATAAAAGGTCTTTTAGTTTGGGAAGTGACTTTTTGCATGGAATGGTATATATGCCATAATAGTGTAAGATGTAGTAAAATAAGTCGTTAAGTCAGACAACTGTATGTCCACTACCTCCACAAACTGCAGCGGGAGAAAGCGGCCGTACTGCCACACGTAGATGACGGAGTCCACTTTGGTGGACACGCCGTTGTAGGCGTTCGCCACGGCCAGGAAGTGATACGGTCCGATGGTGAAGGCCTCCCAGTCGTAAGCCGCCTTGGTCGGGATGGTCTGGTACGGCACAAAGTAGTCCCCAGCTCGCTCCCAGTGGAAAATCACCGACTCGATATTGTGGTCCAGTCCTGGTGAAAAAGCAAAATGAGTAAATTGGATATGCATGTGTGTATGTGTATATCTGTATGTGCATGGGCGCTGTATTTTGTGTGTGTGTGTGTGTGTGATTTATGTGTATGTCTTATGTCACATTAATATTAGTCAGACATGGCAGTCAAGGGACCGAAAAAATATAACAGGTGGTCACTATACATAGGATCTTTAATGCTTGTGTCAATGGGAAACTGTCTAAAGGACCACCCAAAAGGGGTCACATTGGTCGGATGATTATTTTCGATAGGTGATCTCTTGTACGGGTTTGACTGCACAATGTGTACTTCTAGAGCGGAAACTACCATATTCTATATCATCCTCACCAACAGGAAGCTTTAAAATTTTACAAGGACGGCTAATCTTTGTGAAATCAAAATAAAAGAAGAAGACTACTACTGCTAGTATATCTTGCCTCTTGCATGGTTGGCGACCACCAGGTAGTGTTCTCCGTCTATCTCGAAGGCCTCCCAGTCCCGTGCGTTAAACGTGACCATCTCCTGGTGCAGGGCGAACCGCTTCAGCTTGGGCTCCCAGCGGTAAACCCGAGAGTTGGTCTCCATGCCGCTCGTGCCGCCGTAGTTAGCCACGGCCAGGAAAGTCTGGAACAACATTAAGTTCAACTTCAGCTAAGATTTAAAAACAAGAATTCAGAGATCTCAGACCTCTTTCGTGTCCCCTTTTTATTTACCACGATGTCTACAAATCAAGGCCTTTTAAAAGGGGTTGAAAAAGACTCTCACGAAAAAAGGGCTCCACTTGCCTAGACAACTACTGATGCAAAAGCTGTCAAGGAGGTCATGTAACGAAAAACACCTGTGAAAGTCCCACACGGAGGCGATGAACTTTCATGGAGGTGATGAAATTTATTAGCTGACCCTATTAGATTCGATTCGTCATTTTGATTGATAAACAATAAAAATGACAAAATTTATGCGGTTGAAAAGAAATACCTGTCCGTCGATGACGAAATGTTCCCACTCCTGCGCGCCGTACGTCTTGATGTTCTGATGAACCACGAACTCCCCATTGGTCCATTTGAAAATACTGGACTCCAGCTCCTTGTCCAGGCGCGCGTCGTGATTGGCTGTTGCCATGAAGAGCCCCTCCCCTTCGATGTAGAAGGTCTCGATGTCGATGGTGTTGGCGGGAGTGTAGACGTCTTGGTGCACGTCCAAGTAGTCGATCCGCGAGTTCCCGGCTGTGGGATCACGACAGTTTGGTTAAACGTATCTTTTATACACACTGACTACGTACACTAGCTAGGAGCGTCATGTGCAAGTGCCAAATCTCTTAATGTAAAAGATCTCGACACACTTCTCGGAAAGAGTGACCTAGCGTGCTTAGCTGCCCTACATGACGGGACTGGCAGTGTGCTTAGCTAGGAAAGTGAGCTGTGGCGAAGTCGCTTTGCATTGCAATTTGCTTAAATAGCTATAGAAAAAGAATAAAGCTTCATCTCAAGCTGAGAGTTGTTTAATCAACCAAAAGAAAAGAAAAGAACTCAGAGAAGAGGCTTCTATGAACAAGTCAATAAATTAGAGATAGCAGACTTTACCCTTTGACGACAAGCGCCCTCTGACAGAACATATAGAAACTGTAATGCGGAAACACACAAACAGACAAGCACCTCAAGAACAATACTCCCTCGAGGGTATCTTCTTCAGCGAACCGATTTTGCTGGCCATGCATCAGCGAGCGTTACCTAGCGGATAGTTTAACGGAGTTCAGACTAACCGTCGGCCACGGCGATCCATCCCAGCCCGTCGCAGAGCTTCATGCTTCCCGACTTGGTGTCGAACCACATCCTGCCGACGTCACCATTCGTGCAGACGGAGTCGTCCCCCATCTCTACTTTCATATGGGCGTCTGGGAAACAAGGAAGCGCGATTTTAGTTTAGCTTTTGTCGTGAAAGCTGCGTGGTGTGTAGCAAATGAGACGGTGAATTGACTGAAAACCAAAGCTGGCTAATGGACGCTCCTCTGGACAATGGATACTGCCTTACCACCGTATGATCTGCTTGGACATTAGAAAACTTCCAACATCTGCTTGAAAATCTTTCATATGCATGGATCTCCGGACCATCCTTCCATTTTCTATCTAGGCTTTTTGCACTGGCGTGTACTTGTAGCTCTTTGCTCCAGGTGTAGTTTTTTTGCTTCAAGTATAGACTTTTTGCTTCAAGTATAGACTTTTTGCTTCAAGTATATATTTCAATTGACATAACAACACTTAACAAATTGAATATGAAAACGTAACTCTTTTGTTATAGAAACAATGTCAAACTTCAAGGTTGTCTTTTACTTTCTTCAGACTTTCTTCAACCCTTTAAGGCGTTTGAGGTGATTGCCATACGCCTTACCTGATTGGTGGTCGGGTGCGTTGTTGTGTTGCGGCACCAGGTCTTTCGGGAAGGGGGACGGTAAATCCATCCGCGCCAGCTGGGGGTTGAGCGAAGGACACACCATGGTGGAGGCATCCGCGCCGGGAAGTAGTACCAACTGGTGCAGTTGTCCCTAATAGCAAACAAAAATCCCTTTGAATTTATTTATCTGACAAAATGGATTAATAAACGCAAAGAATTGAAAATATCCAAACTTAGACACAAAGTGTAAACAAGGTGAGGTGGAGTTGTGAATATTGACGGTAGGTGGCGCCAGTAACACTTCAACAATAGGAGGTGTCATTATACCAATTTACCTGTAACGAAACGCATTGTTAGTAAACTTCCACTCAGACGAAGACGATTTGACACAGTTTCGTTACTGACGACCTTTATTTTCTACGGTTTAGAATTTCATCGGTGACACGTGGTTTGTTGTGCCAATATATATATGACAATATCGAACCCGCCAACCACCTGTGATGACATTTCCTTCGGGAATGCTTTGTGGTAAACCGCATCCAACCGCAACAGTGGACTGTCGTGGATTGGTAAATTATTCCATGTCGATTCCAAGCAACCAATATCACCAGCCATATACGCAACATTCTAGCATACATTATTATTTTTTTGAGTGCGTGTAAAATTGTTTTGTTCAGGATGCTGCCACATTGCGTTGCATTCACTGCAACTTTGATGACGCCATACCATCAACTAAAAAACTATCATCAACTTTGCCCTTTCAGACCTTTCTCACGAGTCTTCAAAGGGAGAATAGACGCATTAACCAACATTTAACAATCATCATTAACATTCCCAACAGTATTACCAACAAGGAGTGACATTTCAAAGTGGTGTTATGTTCTAGAGGTCACAGGTTCGAATCCCGGCTTGTGGTTAAAGGATCTACAATTTACATTCAGTGAAAGCATTTCCTAACCGCAATCTCACAGTATCTGTACATGATGTGTCAACTGTTCCTCGGTTGAATGGCTTTGATTATAAGGACACCGAATACAAGCTGCGTATTTTAATGTCTGTGCTACCAAACTTAGAAACTTCACAAAGAAACGCAGTGCGATTGTAATCTCCAACTCTCATGATCTTTCGAATTCACAACTCTTTGCTGAGTGCTAAGCAGAGAAAGCAGTATGTACCATTTTTAAAGTCTTTGGTATGACTCGGCTTGGGATCGAACTCACGACCTACCTAATGCAAGGCGAGCACTCTACCCACTTGGCCATTGCTCCGATAGTGCGATTGGCGAGTGACCCTCCACGCCACGCCAGGTGCGCTTTGTAAACAAACGTATCATGCGTGAAGAGCTCCGGGGCGAAGTTAAACCTAACAGCACAGGACGGCGGCACGGAGCCTAATGACAGACACTCTACAATTAGTCATGATGTCTGTCCCGTAAAATCACAATAACCACACACGCATTCGGGTCATTTAACAGGACCGACTGGTGGGTACCTGCCAATTTTGTCATCATGAAGCTCTGATAGCGTTTAAACAATACTTTTCGCTACTTTGTAACTGGTGAAACTGTCTTGCTCACAAACTTAGCCAAAAGATAGTTGTGAAGACCAACGCGAAGTAAACAAAATGTTGCAAAAAAAGAGGTCAGGGAATGATTATAGCAGCTTTATCTCAACCAAGGACTGTAGGCTATCAATGGATGGATCTATTTTGCTTGATTGACCAGAGAAATGTACAAATGGGCTTTAATTTGCGGCATTGCCGTCATGCACTTCAAAAGTATCATTGACAGAGACACCCGGTCGCCTGTCATCACAAAAAAACTACTACTAGCTAGGAAAGACATTGGGAAAAACGAATCTGCCTTCGCAAACATAGCCAATGTTGCATATCTTCTTAGTTTGATGTTTGCGTTTGTGCCTTTTATGTCTTAATGACAGGGAGGCATTAAGAAGGAATCTGTCAGTTTTCTTGTCGGTTGAGCGGCTCTGATACAGACCAGCACCCGGTATTTCCACAGTAACGACGTTACGGGTGGGCTTTAGATGTGGTCCGACAACAATTAGTCTCTGACACAGATACGACAGGAATAGAATGGTTAGATTTTGAATACTGAGAAATCGTGCGTAACTACGGAAGACATGCAATATCATCATGTAGAGTGCAATATCATCATGTAGAGTGCAATATATATACCGTATATATGAGTTCATTCTTCTGAATAAACCATTCATCATCATTCTAATAGCTCCAGACTAACTGAAACGTAGCTTGGACTACTAAGGGAGGAGAGAAACATATAGACATTGACATAAGACAAGGTACTGATGAAGAAAGTCATCATTGTCAACATCGGAAGGCTTTCTTTGAAGGCATGTACTGTCTGTATTCTTCATACATGTATGTTCAAGCAATATCAATAAAAGGAAAGAGTGCATACTAGTGCATATAAAGTGCACATAAAAAATGCAACACTGAATTTGCTTCTGGTCGAGCGTACTACATAGTTCTGCATATATAATTTTGCGTGTAATCAAATATATTAGATAAAGGATGTCTTAAATTCAGTCCAAGCTGATGCATAGATGAACTAGATTATTGAACGTCAGGAATTCAGCAAAACATTACTGTGGGCAGGAACTACCTTATCCAGGTATTTCCAATTTGTTTGTCTTTGCTTGATAATAATTTGTCATAGTGTCGGGGTAGTAATTAGTCCAAACTCAGTAATGGAGACAAATGATCCAAAATGGCCGCCACCCTCCGACATGATGAATGGACAGAACGCATGCCCCGAAGGGGTTAAAGGTCAGTGCCCCCCGCTGACCTTTGACAGATTTCACTTTACACGATCAACGCCTTTTAATTACTGAACCGCCCTGATTGAAGACCAGCAAAATAAGCACCTCTCCGCACCTGTTACCTGAAAAATAACACTTTGTGAATCTAGGACCCAGGCGATATGGCAATATCCTATGACGATTTTATTATCGTCCCAGTACATACTAACAGGTATTTTCGCAGATGGCATAATTTGCTCAACCCAAATCACTGTAAAATACGACAATCATCGTCCCAGTATAGTACATACCAACGTAACAGGTGTTCTCATAGATGACATTTATTTTCAGCCGAAATCACTGTAGATACGACAGACCGTGGGCCTCTCACGATCCTTCAATTGGACGTCACAACTTTCTATTTGTGTTTCTAGTGTTATTTTTCGTGTGTTTTTCCTGGAAAGTCTGAAGACTTAATAGGAACAAACTGTTGAATAGATACATGCTCCCATGACCCTACATGTATGTTTACTATTCACTGTGTCAATTTTCTTACCACGTTGTGTAGTTCATACTTGTGAGTTTTATGTGACCCATGGCTCCAATGACATTAACCTTTGCGGTCTAAACAGTTGCCTAAAGGCCAGACATCATTCATTGTAAACAAATAGACTGACCTTGCGACCACATTCCTCCAGTCTATGACCATTTCATACATACGTACAGTGCAATACTGTGCATACACCATACACAAGATAGATTCGCTCTCTTTGATATCTTCAAAACCCCAACTTCAGAACAACTTTATGTACAGGGATTTTAATTTCACAATATAAGAAAATACGTGTCTTAAGGTTTCATTTTTGAAGAGACATGACATGTATACTATCATGACCTTTGACTGTCCTTCTCAACAAGGGTCATGGGTTTCAAGACAAGGCGCACTTCAGTAGAAAAACAAGAAAAAGGAGTCAAGAACACTTCATAAAGACTTGGTTAACTAGGTAGAATCGAATGATGATACCTTGTACTTAAAATTATGTTCTAATCATTTCTACTATATCCTTTAGAAGCACAATGTTGTAAGAATGACCTGGGTAATAGTTTGGTACGTTCATGCATGATGTGTTCGGATTGCTACAGGGCCTTCCTCGGGCGGAGTTCCACTCCCTCCCAAAAGGTGAACATGTCAGTCCGCACGACGCGCTCAAAACAAAAGCCGCCATTCATCGCTTCCGCCGGGGACCCGTACCTGCCACCCCGACGTCCCCACGATTTACACCGCCGCTCGACCTGCAGCGACACGGCAACAATCACGCACTTATCCCGGGGTACTCATCCGCGAGGACTCTCCCCCCAACCCCGCGTTCATGTCCGCTCTAAGCCGATAAAACCGAACAGTGGATCAGTGTTGCCGCACGATTTGCTACAATGTCTCTGCTCTCTCATGATGAATGATTTTGACAGTTCTGAAATCTTATCAGATTCAGGAAGAATTAAAGAATGCGCCAAAGATCCGGTGGGCAGATACCGTGGGAAATATTTGCAGATTTTTTTGACTGAGTTAACTTATCGTTTATCGTTTTCGGGTGTTATCAATGAAACGTATCTTTCTTTCAATATCATAAGAAAATACAGTATCCATGAACTTACCACCTTACAATTACATACGCTTATACTTTTCAGACAGATAGAAAACATCTAAATAATCGGTATAAGACAAAACCACAATATCATATCAGAAACTGATAGGTATGATTGATATAATGATATCCCTCGCTTTAGTGTAATGCCAGAAAGCTCTCGTCTGAGCAAATGTAACTTTCCACCTGTCTGGAGTATACACATGTATGTTAGAAGAAAAGAGAGTGACAATGAGGATGCTACAAGGCTAGAGTGTATTCTATGTATGCTTATACGTGACAACAGGACACTAACTGGAGAAGAGATTCTGCTGCAGTGAGCATTAGTTCAGTGCCCAGACGTTACAATCGTGGCTTTGCAATGAGCAAATTCGTTAAAAAATACTGCGGTGTGCCCTGGTACTAGGGTTAGGGTCTGTCGTTCAGTGGTGGGTGGCACGCAGCACCGTGGAACCACAGACCCAGAAAGAAGTACAGTGACCAGGGGCAGATTAAGGGGATTTGAAGCGTCGTGAAGTCAGCTCCCACCCGGGCGGGACTTCTGGAGAGGTGGCCCGGCAACTGGACTAGTAAATGAGCGCCGTGCGAATGGCTGAACAAACATAAAGGCCCTTCACTTCGAGTTACCGATTTGCCGGGGAGACGGGTTCTTTGGGCGGAATGCTTTCTCCGCTTGGGTGATACTTTGCCCCGGGTCCAAAAAATTCGCAACGTCTACGTCCACAAAGAAAGAGGTGTAGGATACTTATAAAACTTTACTGGAAGCCTTGACTCTTTATGAATGCCCGTCCACACACATAGAAAACGACCTAGTATGTAAACGACACCTGTTTTATAGTATACTGCATTTCTGTAACTAGGAAGTTCCATAAAAACAAGGCGTCCGATTTTTTCTGTCATCGAATGTGTATCCAATTAATTGTCAGCTTCGACAAATTGGGACAGCATAATTACTGTTACTTGTTACTTTCAAAAAAGACTCTCCCCTTTGATGTATGCATTCATATTCAATCAGTTAATTTCATCAACTCGTGCCCAATCAAATGTGCCCTTTTTAAGTGTTGCTAGTAGGCTTAGGTTTTACTGAGCACTTTTTCCCAGTTTATATGAGACTTTAGAATGGAGGAATGTACCGAGTGATTGACATGTACGATAGTGAGATACCGGAAACAAAATAGATCCCAAACAATGGCGAACAATTTACACTATCTCTGTTGATTTAGGTTTCGTGTTTGACATGCAAGCCTCTGTTTTTCTAACAGTTAAACAAAGAAGAAGCGCTAGCGACTACAATCCCTACATTATTGTATCATTTCATGAGGAAAACGTAGGGATACCAATTTTCTACTGTCAAAATATGTATCTGTATCCGTATAGGCGGTATAACAACATCCAGTAACACACCAGCTTCGCAGGCACGTGGCGCGGCGGCAGCTGGTTATATTACACCGAACGACCTGTTACACCTAACCATCGCACATCTAACTGCAGACGTGATGCCCCAACTGTACTTCGTGGCAACACGTTCCAGTCTACGATAGTTTTACTTTATACGAGACTGTATATATACTGTATGAAACTGTGCACATCCGTAAATGCTTCGTGTGGTTCTCCAATATACAGATATAACCCATATCACCCTTCCTCATATACAGATGAGTTATCATGGATATCTAAGAAACCCCTACTTGTATGTCTATTGTCTGTAGGACGATCCCTTAGCCTCTGCTGTAGGTAGCGTTACCTGTGTACCACCTGTGCGACAGGTACAGGTAAACACCTGGACGTTATCTTACCTGTCCATCTCCACACTCATAATCTCCAAAACAGACCCAGTAATTTAGACCGCGGCTTCGCTTCGATACACCAAACATGTTAAAAGCTACAGTCAAGCTTTTAGGGTGTTGTAGTCTATCAGGGTATACATTCTAACATGATATATGTGGGAACATATATAAGCTCAAGACAACGTAGAATTCGATTTTTGTTAATCAATAGATTTCGGAAAAGTTTAGAAGAACAAGAACACAGAGTGCACGATCAAATTACAAAAAGCTATTTCAGTTTTACATTGGCAACGATGTTAGTTACTGAATGGCAGTAACTAACATATTTAACAAAAATATGATGAAGTATGTTCATGTTTTAAAGATGACCCATAAGAAACTTTGAAATTTATCAAATATCTCATCCAGGGTTCATGATATTGTTCTTGATTTGGCAAAATTGTCAAAAAGGGCTAAGGTAGCGACAATTATTTGTTGAAGTTACATTGCAAAATGAACGAAAAAAGTGCACAATCACTTAGCACTATCATCTAAAATACGATTATCCTTATAACTATATGTTTCACGCATTAACAAATGTATGTATTTGGAATTAAGATTCAGTTCAACCATGGAGATTTGATAGGGTTCAACTGACTGACTGGGATAAGTCTTCTATTATGTCGGCATGACAACCAGTACAAAGCCTGAGAATCAGATGACATTTCTGTTTTTTGCCGACGCCTCTGTAGTTGATCACTAATTATAGTCATTAACATCTAGTGACCCTTCCCTGAACCTTTCAACCGGCCACAAAACCGCATCAGAACGAGAACCAACCGTTTTTGGCTTCCACGGCGATGTCTGCCGACTTCTGGTATCTCTGGTTTAAAGAGGCATTGTGTAATATTTCTAAACCAAAAATTGAAATATTTTCGTTGACAAAAGTCTTCGTGTAATCGTAATTGACTTCCACTTTTCAACATATATTCGTGCAATTATCTCACATTTCTGACATTTATGGTTGGCACTAAACCTAGCCCACACAAGCCACACTCGGTTTGTGGTGCCACCACAAAATACCAGAATGTGAACAAACATGACCGTCAGCGTTGTTTTCAGCTTTTGAACACGCTCGTAAGGTATAATATTTCGGTACCTCCACTTCCTGAATGGCACTTAGTTGAAATGGAGTAGAGACTTGATTAAACTTATTTCGTAAGGAAAGAGCCAGAAAACGTACTTTTTCAGTGTATCGTATTAATGTTACATAATGCAGCTTTAAAACGTTACTCCTGTAGAAGTGGTGATGACAAGAATGACTGCAGTTTGTATCACCATCCCAGCACTGTGCTGATGCCCCCGTGGCGCTATCATTACACTCCAATAACGTTAAGCTAATGTCTGTGATCTGGTCATTGTAACGGCCCACACGCAATACACACAGGGCACTTAGGTATAAGGGATGGGCACATCACTTCTTTACGTTTCATTTCACATTATTTTTCTCCCTTTTTTGCATTTCCTATATATCCCAGTATGCCAACACTACAACCACTTTTCCCATTCCTAAATACAGACATTTGGGAACACTTTCCTCGGATAAAAGACAACCATACACCCAAAGAGATGCTTTCCTTTTACTAGTAATTTGGTCACCTTATCTACCTATCTATGTGGTAAGTAGGTAGAGATCTTCTCCCTTTTTAAATATAAGACGGCATTGTTGAAGGACAGGGCGGCAAACTCTCCCTCAGCAATTATGTTCCTACTCTAGGCTCCGGGGGTCTTATGCGGCCTTGCAAAGAACAGTGTTTAAGACGAATTTTGTGATCAGCACGGTTTAACAATGGCGTAGATCAAGTGGGCTCTAAGTCTACCTTTCTCTGTGTTTTCAGAACAGCACACTTGTTTCTAAGAAGACTGTCACAGAGCAATTTTATTCTGGTAAGCCGAAAAGACCGGGGAAGCTCCGTACGGCCCACCCGCGATTGTAGGTATAGCCCACCTGTAAGTCACAGTCGGCGGGCCGGCTTTGATGTGATGGAAGCCTCGAAGTTTTACATTGTACTGATGTGACGTACCTTCGCTCGTGTCGTATTTCAGAACGTGCCACTACATTTAGAATACGTAAAACACTATCCTACCAATAATACTAGACGGAAATAACCAATAATACCCCTATCTTATAAGTCAATCAAACAATCATTCAAGCAAGCAAGCAGGCAGTCGATATGATTTGAATATAAAAGAGACTATCCACCAAAGAAAATGTTTTTCCAAATAACAAAAGCAACAGTACGACAAACATAGAAGCTATTTAGCCAGTCATCCAGGGCTCAGCGTGTCCGATGTTTGTTTGTGTGTTTGTTGTTCTTGTGTAACATCAAGGTCATGACGGAAAGTGAAAACAAATAAACAAACCACTTTTACTCCAGATAAAAGTGGAGATCACCCGAAGGAGAGATAATAGGACATACCGTGAATTGTTCCTTTCTTCTTCTCTTGTTTCCGATGTGGAATTTTGTCCCGGTGGTGTCCAAGTACGCCGGAAATGTTCTGTCCAAGTACGTAAAGTACGGCGGCCTGCAGTCCACCGTCAGGCCTACGTCATTTCCGGTCACCGTGATGACGAACGTGTGCCACTCGCCGTCGGCAATCTCCGTAGCAAATGAAGGCGACGACTTTTTCACGACGTGTCCGCCCGAACTGCTATAGTCGAAGAACACTTTGAATCTCGTAATCCTTATGGCTAGCCTAATATTGTGCACTCTTTCCTGCACAAGAGATAGGATATACTGGTTCCCCTTCATGTTCAGTCTTGCCTTCAGTGTGACAAGGATGGAAAACTCCTCCGGGAAGTATTCACAGTTTAGAAACACCCTGTTGGAGGGGAAGTTGACGCCCTGTAAGGTCCCGGTGTCGGGGGAGAAGGAGATGGCGTGTATTCTGTGGGCCCGGTCGATGGTGATGTCCGTACCGCTGGGCAGGTATCTCTGGTACTCCAGCGCCCTGGCGAGCAGGTCTATCGGCTGGAGGTCTGGGGAAACAGACGTGTGGAGTCATTGAAGGGTTTATTAGCAAAGAAGATTTTATTACACTGTATATAACAACTAAGGGGAATAGAGTGTGTTTATGTATGTGTTTATATGTGTGCGTGCGTGTTTGAGTGTATGTGTGTGTCCGCGCGAGTTTGTGCGCATGTATGTGTGTGTGAACATGTATATGTATGTTTATGTATGTGTGTGCGCTCGCGCGTGCGTGTGTGTATGCGTGTGGGTCTGTGCTTGCGTGCGTTCGCCTATACGTGCATGTGCACTGACTGTATGTCAGCGTTGCTTACTGTACTGACACCTGCCGTGACATATCCAGTTTATGCACAGTCAGTGTTTCTATTGTAACAAACCTGGTTATGCTAAGGCGTTGTTTATATCAGACCTAGAAGATCATGGTTTAGGCAGCAAGTTTTCCAGAACGGAACCAAGCGGCCCATTTAACATCCGCTGATTCGGAAAGGTGAACTCAAATATGCGAAATAGGCTTATGGCGTTTTGGTTCTCAACTTAATAGGCTTTGGCAAGTCAGTCAAACACTTTGTTTGAACCCACCGTTGATGCTAAGAGCTGCACAGCAGAAAAATCGAACTTCTTAGGTCTCCGAAAAATGCACACCATAAAAATCATATGGTGTGGGTTGACTAAACATCAAAACTGTATCAGACAGCCGCAAAAGAAGAAGCACACAAATGATGTATAAATATGAGGCATTGTACTGAATAGGTATATCTCAAGTTCACGTTTTAGCTAAACGTCGCATAGTTGTCAATGTCGGGAATGTAGATCTTTCTCAACGTAACTGACTGCACCAAAATTCATTTTTAAGCACACATAAAACAATGCGTAATGGTTCCGTTTCTTCTCTTACGTGTACCTTTACGCATGCTTTAAGATATGCTTACATTTTTTGCAGTGTAAAACATCTACATGCCCCCATCTCGCTGATATGTAGCCATGATAGCCGTGTGTTCGCCCACCGCAGACGACTCTAAAAGGGTTGATACCGAGATCTCCTTCAACATTTGTTTATACAAAAACTGGCTTTTAGTCCACAAAGCAAACAAACACAGACTAGTACTGTTCAGTCACGGGACGATCTTAATGGACTATACGTTAATGTTTCGTTGTAAATTCGTATCGCAAATTGTGGTCCTTTTTTGATAACTGGAAAGAAAAGAGTGAAAGGATGTCACATTGTATCAAACTTTTTAATTCTTTCCTTTATTTCTTGGTAGATTTGAAGACAGTTTTATACCTTTAAGATGTGATTGAACAGTGGCTTTTTCGTGATGCTCTTGAGTGTAGATCACGTTCTTCTGTCATGTTTTCTAAGGTTTTCTCAAGTTTATTTCTCGCCAGAAAACGCGGGAAAACCTCCCAGGCCAGTCTGACGACATACCTGTGCTCTACACGGCTCATTTCAGCCGCAGTGGCTCAGAACTATCAACACTCGTACCCCGACAACCGGCGTAAACTAATAGCGCGACTTGAACGAGCCACTAGGCAGTGACGGTAAACTTCTGGGGCCGAGAAAAGGTGCGTCCTGTTTCCCCCCACACACGGATATTTGTTGACGTTAATCAGCTAGGCGTGAGATCGTATTCTACCGGCCAGGGTAACAATGTGACCTGTATTTGTCCCGACATTCCCCGAAAGCTCGGGCCGTTATTCCATTAGCAGGTGATTCCGAACACCCAAGCAGACACCTATGAGTGTACTTCACTCTGTTGGGGTACCAAAGCCCAAAGCGACAATGCTATAAAGCTTCTCCAGGCCATTTCCACCCTCCCACACCCATTCCCACCCTTCCACGCCTATTTCCAATCATACCAAGACAGGACTCCAACCCTGACACATCCATTGCTAACCACTGTTAGAAAGGATGGGTGTGGAAGGGTTAAAACTGGCATAGAGAAGCTATTTCGCATTGTCGTTTTGGGCTTTGGTACTTGGGGGTCCGTCGTTTCTTTTCTTACCAGTCAACTGTGTTTAGAGCACTCTTGTTTGTCGGTATACTATCCAAGATGATGTTCCCAGGCTTGTTCTGACTCCCAACTGTTCTCAAATAAATAGATTAAGAAAGGAACATTTAACCCTCTATGTGGCTAGATATCAAGAACTGACCTTGCACCTTCGCTAAACGATACTATTAAACCTAACTAAAATAAGGTCCTCAACCTTGTTTTGCATAGATTGGATCCATTGATGATTTTCTCCATACAAACAACACAAGTTATCCACAGTATGAACGTTTCATCTCAGCAAAGAAGGCTACTGCACCATTTTCTTATTGATTATGGAAACGAGACCCTGCAATTCCACATAATGCCAGAGCTATCCCGCGAAATCCTGAACAGGATACCGCGAAATCCCGCGAGACACACCGCGGGACTTGACGTACGCATATCCCGAAGTCTGTACTGGTAAGGACGATATCACGTTCTTGCTACTGTGTATCTGTATCTGTATCAGACTATACCTATGAACATTCTTTTGTACAAATGTCACCGAACCAACAAGATAAATGTTTCAAACGTGTTGCCATAAGCAATCGTGGTTTGGTCACGCGGCACCCCAGATAACCATCAAAGAAAACTTCTATCAGAATAGATCCCAGGACTGTAATTTTGCTAATCATCTGAAAGATTGGGAAACAACACAAAGTCATGATGAGAGCGCCATTTTGTTAAGCTAATATGACAAGAGGCGTTGATTTTGTTTTACAAGTTTGTGCCCCTTGGCCAGGCAGAAAGACGAGTCTGGAAATTGTCACACAATCGTGTGAGCTGTCACCACTGGTACAGGGTACCTATCTGCCAAGTTAAAGGCACCTAAAGCGATTTCAGGGCGTTAAACTGGATTTACAAAGCGAATATGCTAGTTATTATTTTACGTAGTAAGTTGAATCTCATAATATATCATATGAGGGAAAAATGCGATGTCTCTGACGGTGCTTGTTTGCTTATTTTATACTGAAGGCTGGATCTAGCTATTTGTTAGTCGTACCGCAAAATAATGGGGATCCTCAAGTAATATAACTTGTTTGGGACTATCATTTGAAACGCTACAACTAAGAAATTATATGACGAAAATATGCTAAGGAATAGATGGCATTAAGTTTCCTTGGCAAAGATTCAGGATATAACACAATATTTCAATCCATACCTATGGTATGGACTGTATGATGCCATTACCAGAACATTAAGACATTACGTATTAGATAAAGACTTAAAGGAATCGTCGCCAGAAATTCTTCGCCAAGATCTATACTTAAGACTAAATCTCCGAGTAGGAAGTCCTATTGTCTGTGTGAGATAGAACCAGTACCCTCCCATCTTCACCCTTAATAGAAGCCTTTCATAGCGATTGACAGATAACATCTGTGAAAGGTTAAACTCGTTAAAATCGGATGCCATTATCTCGTCTGAAGTCGGACGTTGGAATGACAAAAGAACGTTGTTGTGACGGCCATATTGTCTACGTGCCGTTTGGGAGGAGCACACTAAGCATTCTACATTAAGGCACGGTCGCATTTGACGTACGATAGGTGTACAAGTCGTGGGTATTCTGGGGCCAGTCGTGGCTGTATCGTACGTCAAAAAGTAACTGTCTTGTCAAAGTGTCGTAGCTTATTGTTCTTTCTATCAAAAAGGCTTTGATATTAACAAAAGTCGGTCGGAGAATTTGTAGGAAAATGTAGATGGTAGTCTTGTATGAGCTGTCGTTCGGAACTATCGGATGTAAAAGAATCTGTCTGTTTGTTTGTTTGTTTGTTTGTTTGTTTGTTTGTTAATTTATTTCTGTTTTTGTTGACGCTCAATTCGGCCACCGGGGAGGATTTACATAGAGGTCGAGTTGGGAGTAGTGGCAAGGGGTCATTTGAGAATACAACATACGTTTGGACAAAACGGATGACACAAACTAGACGTGCCTTCACACTTGCAGTGGAGTGTAAACTGGGAGTCTTACTTTCAGTCGATTTTCCGTCCGATTTACGGTGGAGTCTTGACCACAGCGGCATAACCGTTTAAACCCCCGGCCACGGTCTCTCCTACAGGAGTGATTGACGGCCAGGTTTAACGTTGCAGCTTTAGTCCGCCCCTAATCTGACCATTGTACCGGGGGTTTAACGCTAACACCTCCACCTGTCTGTAAATAAAGCCGTCAGTGTCGGGTGATTATCCCACCCCGTGACCCGTTTATAACGCGTTAGGTCTCAGATCAATCAAAACAAACTCTCAGCCAGACTGAACCCGGACAAACGTCTGTATAAACGTTCTTAAACACCTTCTTCCACTTCAATAAGGCATAGAAAATGCACCGGGCTGGGACTAGGCGGGGCGCACGTTGATATTCCGTTTGTTTGTTTGTGTTTATCTTATTGCAAATTAATAGAAATATAGAAACTTAAGTGACACAACAAAAGTACAGCGACTTTCGTAAGATCATGTAAACATACAGACAGAAACGTGGGTACTCGTACAACAGAATTTACCTACGTACAAAACAATACATGAATCAGCTTATACTACTTGATCTAAGGTCTAAACGTTAATTACAGTCCCGTTTGTGCTTAGCAAAAATAACTTGCATTTTCATGGTGTACATGAGAATTCCTTCACACAAACAGATGAAATATAGTCTGATTTATAAGCAAAAGATTTGCCATAGTTTTTTGTTGATTTATGTGGAATGTAGTAGCGAGGGAGAGTTGACAGGTAGGGAGAAAGTTACGCCGTACGAACAATAGACTGTCGGAAACGGGAAATCGCACCGCCATGAGGGAGGGTGGCTACATGGGGACATCACCATCTGACGTGTGGGGGAGGAGGGGGGCTTAAAAGTAGTAACACAGCTGCCAGTCATGTTTGTTTACATTCTGGTACTTTGTGGTGGTACCACAAACTGAGTGCGCCTCGTGTGGGCTCTTTTAGCGCGCCATGCCAGAAATTGCACGCATGTTGCACGAATATATCTAAAATTGGAAGTAAATCATAGTCACAATAAGATTTTTTCAATTCGCGAAAATATTTCAATTTTTGGTGTAAAAAAAGTTACATAATGCTCCTTTAAGAGCGACACCTGGTCCTTCCCATAGCATTGTTATCTGGAAATCCTTGTGGTTTCTCGGATGACATGTTTAAGTGGGAAGTTGGAAATTTCATCATCAGCTACTGGTTTCGTTTCAACCACCGGGGTGAAGTACTCAAACGTGTTACTACCTCTTCAAGTTGTGAGAGCAGTTGAAAGACAAAGAAACAACCAAAAATTTGTGTCTTAAGACACATCCACGGCTGTCTTAAGAATGTCGTAAACCTATCCTGCAACGAATGTTGCCGAATCAAACTCTCTACTGAATCAAAACATTTACTGAATAAAATGAAATAAAAAAATCACAACCGATTACAATACTCCGCTGAGCTCACTAACCTCCTACAGGGAGTAAAAATCGTTTCAAAAGTTCGTATCTAGAGATAGAGTGTAAAGGGCCATCTCTTCAGTCATAGGGATATCTACATGTGTTCCGAACCTATTTTGTTAGCAGTAGCTTAAGTTGCCCATTAAAGCTAGTCTATCAATACACTATTTTGTACATTGACAGTTTCAGTATACTGTTATTTCTGACGTGTTGCAATTGTCAACTACTGAAGTGGTTTGATCGAGTTTGTCAATATATCAAACTCTTTAAGCCACATTTAAGCCTTTAAACGTTACAACCCAAAACATGCTAGTAAAATAAAACCTTACACCAATGTGCACAGCTTGGGGTTTAGTAGAATTCGTTTGGATGAAGTGTATTTATTTGACATAGTTAAATTTAGAAGGTGTGAAGTGTTTGTTTGAATGACTGAATGGTTGGAATGGGTAGTTCTCGGTCCGTCCGCCATTTTCCCCTAGAGGTGCACATGTCCTTCAGACGGCCTGCCCCAATATTTACAACAACACCCGCACAGATCCTCACATTAGGCCGGCATTAGGGTCTGATTTATGACTCTACAACCCACAGGGATAGTCAGACCCTCTCCGGACAGTAAAAATGTGATCTTTTAAAACCTGAGCTCAGTCCGCCAGCGGTAGCCGGCTCAGGCATTGTTCCTATACTTTACGACCGTCGGCAATTGTTGTTTAAAACACTCCCTGTTTGTTTTAATCTCAATGCCGCCTAGCGACACGTAGGAGTTATGATATAGAAAGGTAGTGTTGTTATATAGAAGTATGCGTGTTATGTGATGTAGCTATGTTTTAGTGTTTGATCTGTGTGGAAGTGTGAGTACCTACCCAGTGGCCAGCCCAGGGCAACGCCAAGTCATGCGTGTTGTTTAGTGTGGCTGTTTACAGTAATTAAGTACCGATGTATCAGAACATTCCTTACTTGTACATGGCCTGGGTAGGCGGGAGGGGATGGCCAGCGCCGCCGAGAGACTCAGGCTCCAGACGACGGTCCACAGCCAGGTCCTGCCGCGCCCGCGGATCAAGTTCATGTCGGCGGGTGTTATGTGGTGTAGGTGGCGGGACTGGTACTGGTGTTGCCGGGCAGCCCTGGAGGCGTCCCCGGGTTGGAGTGCTGACACAAGCGGTGATTTCGGGCTGTAGAACCGCCACTTGAACTGCCGGATTACATACTTGACTCCCGCCAATCCCACTGAGACTTTCCTTCCAGCTCAGACTAGATACACAGACACACGTCCCTCGCAAGAAGTTCCAAAATTCTCCGCGATCACAAGAACAGCAATAGACGACGTCTTTCTGTCCACCTTAAATGCCCAGCTGCATTCTTCCCTCTGTAATAGCGACCAACAATGCTTCTAGCTGTCCTTGAAGACAAGATATGTTTCCGCCGCTATTCTGTGTCTAAAGTTCGCCCGAATTTTTGTGTGGTCGCGACTCCGATGAAAAAGCCCACAGTCGACCGGCAAGGCTTAAGTGTAGGATCCCGTCACAACAGCGAGTTGTGGTAAATATAAGGCGGCAATATTATATAACACCCCGTCTCATCCGGTCTGGAAACGTCGCACACACGCTGACCGCAGTTAAATGTCACCAAATTTTCCTCAGAATCAACCACAAACCTCAAACACCCCAGTTGGTCTGCTGCGGTGCCGGTAGCCTTGCTGTAAGCCCCGTCCTCCCATGTCTTAGTCCTGTAAAAGGCGCGTCAGTCCAGGACGTGTTACCTGCACACGAGGTGTCTGAGAACAGGATACGTGATCCGACCCGTGCGCCCAGACGGTAGAGAGTTCCACCGCACAGGTCCTGTTGTTGCAGCCCTTCCGGCTACACACAGACCGCCGCCCGTCCGTACGTCGTCCAACCGCCGCGCTGCCCAAGACGACACGCCGCCGCGCAACCACCTTGCCGCCCGTCCAACGTGTGACACGCAGTTTTCTGTTTCGTGCCACAAAATGTAGAGTCAAACGTACCACGTCTTGTCGCTGTGCGCGTCTGGTCCTGTCTTATTTCATCCTTTTAAGACTTCTATACGGAATATTTGTGTACCTGGTGGGACGAACACGCCGGCTGGCCTGTGCTTGATGAAGCGGAGGTGCTTTTCATGACTCAAGGCGAAGAAATGCCAGTCAATAGGAGATGATAGGCTATTCTTATTCAAAGTACTGTCCTCACTGACTACTTTGGGAGGAGTTCATTCGGAAAGCATTGAAGGGGTGAGACAAGAGAACACAAGAGGGACTCATACAGAAATACTCTTCATATTTACACACATTTTGTCTTTTAGCTAGACTTTTTTAGTCTTTTTGAAAGAAATTTACTTTAAAACTTTGTGAGAAGTATTGGTGTTCTAAAAAGGCGTTAAACCAGTCTTTGTTATAGACACCCTTAATTTAAAACGTGGTTGGTCGCTTGTAGTGTTAAAACTTACGAAGTTCTTGCCAGTCGAATGTCGATGGTATTTTTGTTTGCTGTGAAATAAGACTCACAGGACAGTCCAGAAAGCCCCCCTCCCCAACTCCGCCCGACTGGGTGGTTTGAAAATAAAACAGAGAGAAAATCCCCCCAGATACGTGATCCCATCCCAGGCCACAGGGCACAATTATACCCTCTTCCACTCTTTTTAGTCGCAATTAATTGAAATCCGCCTTACGCTCCGCTAAGTGTATTGAAAAGCTAACCATGGGAAGTCCTTTCTGTAGCCAGGCCTGCCTCCACGGTTCGGAGTTGCAGCCATTTGAACAGATTATTAGAATCCATTTACTCCGGGGACCCCCTGTGACTGCTGCTGCTGCTCTTTTGGAAGGTCTCTCCCGACAGCAGCCCTTGTACTGACCCCTTAACGAGGGAATTTCTGCCCGGTTTTTGCTCGCGGGTACGGGTCGCCTTGTAGACACTGTCTGAGCGACGAGGTCGCGACAACACAAAAGGGAAAAAATCTGTCCAAGAAGCTGACGCAAACTTGTCTGTGGTATTTCTGAGAGGACAATTCGTCGAAGGTGTCGCAGATTTCAGAGAATGACATGGCTTGTTGTGACACTCAATGGCATGTTGCGAGTTTAAAATATTCTGATTTGACCCCTGAAATTCTGTTGCACAAAACACCTTTTGGGACGTATTTTCATGATGATATTTGCTATTGTCCTGCGTCGACGACTCAAGTGACTCTATTTTTACCCGTCCGAATGTCAATCAAAAATTTAACAAACACTTTAACTCAATCTCCGTCTGAAAGCGACCATTCGCGCGAGATGACTCCACCGGTCAAACGGCAAAAAATTGAACTTTTCCCGCCAAGGTGAATCTCACGTACAAAAGTCGTCTGAAAATTTGGATGTGGGAAAATCTCTGCGCGCGCAGGCCGGTGCGTATCACGCACTTTGTTTTCTAGCCACAACTCATCGGTTCTTTTTTTCACACAAATTTCTCCAGTTCATAAAAACAAGTCAACTTCCAGAACCTCCCACGTCTGAAGACAAAAGGAAAAATACCAGAGACAATGGTTAATAGAGATGGGATTGTTAGCAGAGAGTTTATCTTTCACATTGTTAAAACAAGGCGATACATCATTTCTGACAGGCGTGTGTTTGGTGTACACGGTGTTCTGTCTGTAGCTGGACCTATGGCAGCTTTCTCATGGGACAGTTATAGCCCCGAAACAGACTCTTTCAAGGCTGAAAAAACGTTGAAAGGGTGACCAGAGTTAGCTATCTAACAGTGGGGCTAGTACCTTCTTCAGTAAATTTTACACACTACTCTATCACATTTCTGTCATCTAATCAAATCATCAAGAGAAGTTTGGAAGATTTCTACAAGAAATTTAGATTTTTCAGACTCTTGGACGATTTGGTCGAACGAAGTTGAACCATACAAAAGGTGCCAATTCGAATGTCAACAGCAAATAGGCTAATGTACATTTACTAGTACACATGTAGTTGTACAGGTGTTTAAGAGTAACATCCTGTAGCAGCAGGAAGTATAGGCGGAAATAGTTCATATTGACAGAAGGTTCTGACAATAGTAGAAAAACAAAGGTCTGTAACCTATCTGTTGGACAAAGGAAGGAGAGGGCACATTTCCAAAATTCCTAGATACTTTAATTCATCCTCCTACACAATTAGTTGTTGCTCTCCCGGGCAGCTCAAGTCCGGACATTTCGAAATCTCCAAGCAGGTCTTTTGGTGGATGCAAACTGGCCCATTTGCCACCATTTGGATAGCGTAAAAAAGATACCAATACAAAAAAGAAAGACCGATAAAATTGCATAAAAACACGTCACAAATAGGTCAAAGCCTATACCTCTGCTTGTCTGCTTGGAAAAAATTATTAGATATTTCCAGAAAACGGCGATTTCTGCCTTGGTGAACATGTTGATTGACAGATGTCGTCCTTGCATCGCTAATGTTATTGGCACGTCATTAATACCAGGCCCCCGCTGGGAGGTCCGGCAAAAAACAAGAACAGACAAAAGTTCACAGTAAAACATGATGACCATTTCATGAACCATTAGATAATACCTTAGGAGGTCACAGGTCACATAGCCTCGCATTGCAAGGCCATAAACACGGAGGCCATCTGTCATGTGTGTGGGGAAAAAGTGTCTCACTTAGTGAACTTTGTAAGACTTGGGTAGCATTTAATGATAACGTTTCAGTGTTAGTTTCAGTGTTCTAATTCTTAAATTTACTTAGTGATTTGATTTTCAACCTTCATTGTTTGTGCATGTGCTATGAAATCGACCAGTTGTAACCATTGCTAGATTTTGAAAGTCTACTATTAGGCGAAATAGTCATTTTCGTCTTTTGTATTCACTTAAAATATTCTGCGTTTTTTTGGCTGTAGTAAAAAACAAATTACAACATACAAACGAAACAAGGTTTAAAAGCAGTAAGCTTGCCATGTGAAATGTGGGCACTATACTGTGGTCATCCATAAATAATTTCATCAATTTGGTGAATGACTGAATAGTGAAGTTCTTTATTCACTGCCACTTGTTTAAGAAGAGCCAACGTTTCGAAAACGTTTGCTATTCATCTATACCGTAGTATTTTCATGTATTCAAATCATGCGTTTCGGCGAATTTCAAAGGTTCCACGGGCGTTTTTCCTATAGAAAGGCGTCGATGTGCGGAACGCCACTTCAAAACTCTCGGCGTAACATCGCCCCACAGCCGCCGCGCTCCACCGCTGGGCGGGATTGAAAAGTCTATTGTGCCGTGAGTCTTTGTGGGCTCTTCTAGGTACTGTCTTCTCTGGCGCACAGCCTTAACACACAGGCGAGGAAGGTCAACCATAATTACGCGGTTCACTGAGCCGAAATGCTGGGGCCACGAGTTTATAAACCGCCGGCCACAGCCAACGTTTTGCGGCCTTTGTCAACACTGGTCTGGGAAGAAAACTCCCATATTGGGAAAGTCGTGTGCATTGTGGAGCTTTCCAAAGTTGTTTTTGATGTAAGTTTGAAGAGTGACATTTATAGAAGGGAGGAAGGACAAGCGAGAGGGATTATTTGGCGCCTCTCCAACATTTCATGGACTTCTTGTGGTTTTAAACCTCTCATGTAGTCAGTCAGCAAAATACAGCGTGCAAATCCGCGAAAAAATGAAGTGAAAAAAGTACTGCATACCCTATAATTATTTCCGAAAACAAATAACAAACCAGTGTACAGAAACGCTTTACATTCATAGCATTCTTCTCATGGTAATTTACAAAAGCTTGAATTGTAAGTTCCATATGGCAAACGGAAAACTGCCCAACAAAAATTACAAGGGGCGTAGCTACAAACGGTTTAAATTATATACCGGTGGTCTTTTTTGCGAGCTTTTGTTTGAGAAAAAATGCTTCCAATGTTTGAATGAAAAAGAGTGGATCTTCCCTTCAGTTGGAGAGATTCGTTAGCATCCTCCCTTATGTTGCTCTGTAGTTGTTTTCTTATTGCAACGATTCATTCAAGTACCATGTAGTACCATTGGTAGCTGACCTAACAGGTGGGCAACCGATGACCTAACCGGTGTCTAAAATCCGATATATGACAGGTTAACGAAGGTAAGGTACTGTAAGTGTCCTAGTCATTAACTTTGTATAAATCCTTACACATTTGGCGAGGTCTTGATGAAAAAAAGACCACCGTAGTTAGCTTTCCAAGGCAAAAACTCACTGTCCTGTAAACTGGGTTCCTTCTATATATATATCTGTATATATGCCAGGAATGTTAATTCATGTCGAAAAGCCATTTTGAGGTATTAAAGACTTTCCGGTGTCGCATTCCCCGCAGACTGGAGGAACAATGCCGGAAACCGCAATCAGGATGGTGAGGAAAATACCATACCGTAATTTTACCAACATGACATACTTCAGTCGACAGTAGTCTTCCTTTGTACGAGTATACAGTATGTCCTACACACACCTAATGTTATCACATACGCTATAAACATTTGTATTACAAGAGTTCTTGAGCATTAAGCATTGTTTATGGTATGTTAATTAAGGGGAAGGACTTGAAATATTGGTAAGTTTTACTTTCAGTCATACAAAGTGGCTTGTTGTTTAAGCCTTGTTCAAACGACATCGAACAATTCTATTCAATCCTATTGAATCAAGGTCAATGTTACAGTGTTGTTTCTTTCGGACGAAGAGGTGTCAATTCCCTTCTTTTCCATTTTAGTGAAAACCGTCGTACGATGGGATTACGACAACAAATTGAGCTTCTTGTGAAAGTCGTGGGTGTGTCGCACAAAAGTAGTTGACTGTCTTATGACGGAAAAAGTTCCCATAGACTACTGTCGATGGTTAACGTTGGCTCTGCCACAGCCTCGGAATCCAACGACAACATTTCGTAGAACGATCGAAGATGACCGTGGATCATCTATAAACATAAAATGGCGCTGGGTGAATTCTGGAACCGAAGTTTCTAAACATGAATGTCAAGGTTGTTTTCAAACTGCAGGTTGCCATAGCTAATTTTCAGCGTGAAGATTCTGCAGATGTCAGCTCTCCTGAATGCGGTAGGTACCAGAAAAACAATAAACTTGTAAAACAAAGGAGGTTCCCAGAAGTATTGGGCTGGTATGCTGCAGTGCACCCTTGGTCGGTCACACACAAACACACCAAATACTCAAATCACAAAGAGGAGCCACCAGATGGTCGGCGTTCAAGCAGTTTTCAAACGGGGAACTTGCAGCGAAGAAATGCTGGAGATGGTTCGACTCACCGTCATTCACTCCATCTGGTGCTAACGTCTCCTCCTTGTCCTAGAAACACAGTACCTGTATACATGTACTGTATCTGTACATGTGTACCGTGTATCCGCACTTGTACTATACTGCACTGTACGTACTATACCTGTACCTGTACTTGTACTATGTACACACTTGTACCTATATCTGTACCTGTATATCTATACCTGTGCTTATACCTACACCTGTACTTGTACTACATGTATACCTATACCTGTACGTACATCTATACTGTTCTTTTTGCGCAGTAATATGTCATAGTCTGTAGACTGCCTGACTGTACCTATGTACCGGTACTGTAAATCATCTAACACTACAGGCTGGCTGGCACGCGGGTTGTTGTTGTCATTGTCAGGTACAGCAGGTGGAACTAAGCCTTGTTTATTTACCCTGTCTCCAAGCCTGTCCCTCCAGGGCGTGTAAACAATACTGATGTACCTGGATAGTCTCGGTACCAGGACGCACTAGGGAGAGTAAACAATACTGATGTACCTGGTTAGCCTCGGTATCAGACCCCCCAGGGTGTGTAAGCAAGCCAAGCAACATTCAGGTACTATACTGTTACCTGGACTACCGAGTACCTAGTTAGTCTCGATACCAGACCTTCCAGAGTCCGAAAACAATACCGATGTACCTAGTTAGTCTCGATACCAGACCTTCCAATGCAGAGCTACTATATACATGTAGTCTCGGAATCAGACCCTCCAGCAGTGCATATGCTAAAACAATACAGTATTCCTGAGTAGCCTCGGAACTAGGCACTCCAGGTTGGTTAACCTCAACGCCAGGCTACATAGGTCAAGTCATCTTCTACTTCCTTCAAAGAAGAGTCAAGTCCGGGTCAGATTAGTAAATGTAAAAACTTTGAGGTAGTGCGCTACTTCTTTACACTGCAGCTGCTAGGTTATCCATACATTTCATTATCTAGCATTCAGCGATAAATATGAATTTGCAATAGATAATTTTATCGTTATCATTGTATTCTGGGATTTCTATTTCCAAAGTCACCGAGGAAGGAAGGTGGTGTACTTTTGCTACTGAAATGGAGATTCTGCTGACAGTTAATTTGCCGACGCCCCATCCGTGTAGTGTCCACATTCGTAATTGATTTGCTAATTGCAGTCATTAAAGGCCATTAGAAGCGGTCTTCTGGAATGAACCAGTGCCGTCATTAGTCGCCATGTTCCCAGAGAGAGAATGTTAATTGAAATCCCCTGGAGTTTTAGGGGAGAGTCAGCAGATTTGCTCCGGTTCCTCCGAGACTGGGATTTAAAAGAAATTTCACGAAACGCCGTTTCTCACATTTTGGTACTCAGATTTCAACTGAAAACAACAGAAATACATACAAAATACACGTTGTTTTCTAAAACCTGTCTTGTGACAGAAAAAAAGTTTGTCGTAGATATTGGTGATGGGCAGTCTTTTGCAACTTCTCTCAAAATAGTGCGATCAAAGAAATCGCATAACAAATGTGACCACGCCTTAGATACAGTAGTAACACCGGCAGCCATCTGGCTAATGTATAGTAAATTAATCCCTGGTGTATTCTAGACCTAGTGTCAACGTGGGAGAAAACGGAACGAGACATTCCCTTGCTAACACCTTCATAACCTTCGATAGCATTAACCCACAAGCCATAAACTAAGCCTTTTCATGACCAAAAAGGAAGAACCGCTGTAGTTCAAGAGGAGTTCGCTAGGGGGCTCAATATCATGACAACCACTTTGTTCTTGGATATGCCTTACATGTAAATATCCTGTTCAATACATGTATGTGCAACAACAAGACATAACGTTCATACATGTATATAACCAACCCGGTCCCCTTTTTTGGAGCTCTCTCATTTAAATTCATTGTTTGTTATCCTTTCCGCTTGTGGATCCCACCTACTTTCTATTGGGTCCAAAAGCAACAGTTACGTACAAAGCGCATTGGATGGGAGGTTTACATTTTGAAGAGTGTCTTATACGGAGATTTTCTATGTAAACTTCATATGACAATTGCAACACGTACCACCCACATTGCAGATACACATCAGCACAAGAAACTGCCTGAGACAAGTATTCAGAATAAAGACTGAGAGACCTCTAGAACTTGGCATGCAATATCCTGTTTCGTAATGAATATAAGTAATGAATGGAGTGAATATTCGTACTGAATACTAGTATAAGGTATCCGGCAAGGGTATATATTATGTTATGGATATCTGAAATGATGTTATATTTGAGGTTGAACTGAATACACATTGACGTGGAATGGGTAAGTCACCATACCAAAACCATGGTGCCCAATCTGAACAGAAGCGCACCTAGCGGGTGTCTCTGAACTACATAGCCGTCATTTCGACGGACATTATGTGTGAAAGAAGACTACTAGTAGTATGCACACACATAATAAATTTTCAGATTTTTAGATGAACGAAAATCTTTGACAAAACTTCTGAAATGAACAGAGACACACACAAAAAAAACAAGAAAACATTGCAATTCACAGTCAACTCATACAATATATATTACCAAACGTTACAACGATATCCATATATTGGACCACCAAGTTTTTTCCTATCTCATAGAGATAGTCGTGTCTTATACGGGTTTATCAAACACTTAGTTTCCACAGAGTAATAGTTTCTCTAAGTGGATACCATACATTATCAACACATGGTGTTTAGTTATCAAATATAATAACCTGACTTAGGAATGTAGTCATTACGTCACAGGGGTCACTCTAGGTTAATTCTAGGTCAGCTAGAAATTCCACGGATTTTTGGGGCAGGAAAGTCTATTAAATAGTCTGGTCTCTAGGTACATTTGTAGGAAGCCTTATACAATAAAATGATGAAATATTGGAGTGGCAATGTCGCCAGGGACATTTGACTGGGTCCTGGGGTTACCCTCGGTCAGTGTGCGTTGGATCACATTTGTCGCACGACGGGTCTACGACAACTTGAGGACATTCTTAGGGCAATCGTGAGTTTGTCGTGCAAATTTCAGCCGCCTTATGACAGAAATTATTGTCGTAGATCCTTGTTATTGGTTGGCATTGTCTTAGCCTTGCTATCCTACTTGACAAATCGCACGAAAAAATGCGCACGTGCCGTATGAAACGAAGTCTTTTTTCAGGAAAAGGTCTCTCCAAAAATATTGATCTCTAAAGTGCATTTAGCGGAAACCCGGAAGTCTGTGTTGGGATATCAAGCACAATTAAATGACTCAGCCATATCAGCTGAGATGCATTTAGCGGTTATTTTCGGTCAGCAGCTTTTTCGGGCTAATGTCCCAAATGTCGAGAAAATTCCCTTAAAATCCTGATAATTAAATACATTTACAAGAAGGCAGTAACTAGTTGCAAAGCATAATTAATTGACTAAAAGGCAAAGTCAACAAAAACATCGACAGAGGTCACTACCGGTCATTAGACGTCGCAGAGATATCGCCCGTTTTTTGGCGACGCCTCAGGAGCGGAGGCGTTTTCACATGACCGTGTCCTGTCTCCGCTGTGCGACTCTCGGCGTGCCCGTGGGAGACAGGTTTGGCGTCCCCGCCGGACTGAACCGGTCTCCCGCCTTCCCCATCCTCACAATCCTCTTGAACACTTCTCTAAAGTCCTTGTTCAGGTAGCCGTACAGGATGGGGTTGACGGCGGAGTTCCCGTACGCCATCCAGGAGGCAGTATCGTACACGGCCGGCGGGACGCCCTCGGGGTCGAACGCGAGGAACATGTAGACGACGTACCAGGGCAGCCAGGAGATGAGGCAGACCACCGTGATGATGATCACCGTCCGGATCGCCGCCCGCTCCCGCCGGCACATCCCGTCTGCGTGACGGGTATGGGTCGTGCTGGCGGCACTCTTTGTGATCGACGAAATCAGCTCGCTCAAACTGTTCGTTTTCCTCACTTTTGTTTTGTTATCAGTGAGGTTTTCGTCGCCTAGACTACGAGTGGCGCGAATGCAGGGTTTTTCGATGTCGTCCAGAGGGAAGGTGATGCCTCGCGGTCGGATGGGAGGAACGCCGGTCTGCTCCTCCGCGGCTTTCATGACAGCTGTAATACCAAGTCTTACCGCTAGAGGGGAGCTGCCAGAGCTCGTACCTCTTCGAAATCGACTTGAATGATCCGACACGGGTGGGGAGACTTCTGGAAGATATCCTGCTGAGTTTTGTGGAGAACTGCTTGGGTTTGCGATCACGGTACAAGCTGCTGTGCGGGGGTTCTTTCTCACTGGCGCGGGAGAAAAGTCGCAGCCTGTCGTGCTCTGTACGGAACTCTCCGACTCCGCCCGTTTTCTTTTTCCCGCCGCCCGTTTCGCGCTACCGCTGTGAGAATGGTGACTGGCAGTCAGAAACGCCTTCTTCTTCACGTTTCCCTTTAACCTGATCAACATGAGGACCTGGCAGACGACCAGGAAGCAGGACGGCAGGTAGTAGCAGAGGACGGCGGTGATGATGTCGTAGGTCCGGTGGGTGACCATGTCCTGCTCGCACATGGCCGGGTCGGCGATGTAGGTTAGCGGGACGCCGGGGACCCAGAACGCCGCCACCACCAGCCACACCGCCACGTTAGCGCACACCACGGCACGGCGGCGGCTGGAACGGGCTTTCACGTACCTAGAGGGTTGGAAGTGTACAAAAACACTTGTCAATATCACGGACAATAAGCATATCTAAAATAGATAGGTCGACAAACAAATAGTTCTTACTTTCAAGCAATAGGAAAGATCAACAGCCATTTGCTGTTCTGCAATCGGCAAGCTTTTTTCCCAAAATTTTAATTTTCATTCTCAAAGCCGCAAATACCCTTCCCGTTCCGTCCAAAGACTACACTGCCGAGGGCCACTATGAAATAAGTCAACAAACACGGCAAAGGGCGGAGAGATAAGCGAGCCTCAGACGGCTGTTTGTGTACGGTCTATTGTTTTCGTGTTTGCTTGTTTTTTCGTGGTGCGAACGCCTCAAAGTGAACTAGATTTCCGCCACAATTTGTTAAGTAAAGACAATACATTCAGCTGCCTATCAACTTGAGCAGTGGTCTTGTTGCAAAGAATATAGTTTCCTCTGTTTCTAAGATCATTAAGCATCTGTCGTACAATAAATCTGATTAATCATTTACGTATTGTTAGAAATCACTGGAAAACACTTCTCTTTTCCCTGGCACCTTGCCTTGTTACAATGCCCTACTTTCCCTTGTAAGGGATCCCCTGCAGAGCTAGGTGCCTAGTGCCTGGATTTTTGCCAAGAGAGGACTACTAAGAAAGAACTACATAGCAAGTTCTAGCTAAACCACAAATAACAAGGAAGTGATACTACATGTACATACAGTTCCCACAGTAAAGTGTCAACAAGCAGTTGTCTTGCGACAGGCTCATGGCACTCTTACGACAGTCGTGCGAGGAATGTGACCGAGAGGAGACGAAATCTTTGCTATTAGAAAATTATACAGACTAATTTATCCCAGCCATACCTGAGCGGTGAGCGTATCCCCAGACATCTATCGAAGGAGATCATGCACAGCGTCAGGAGAGACACGTTACACGTGACGTAGTCTATCGCCAGCCAGAACACGCACGCTATCTTGTCCAACGGCCAGTAGCCCAGGTACTTATACACGGTGAACAGCGGCACAACTACCGCCCCCACCAACAAGTCCCCCACGGCGAGGTTCACGATGAAACAGTTAAAGACGGTGCGAAGTGTCCGCTCTATAGCGATGGATATGAGAACCAGCCCGTTACTTATGACGGTAAACACGCTGAGGAGACACAGTAAGACTAACGCTGTGGTGTTCTCGACGGCGACCTGCGCTGTGGCGTTAGCGCTTGGAGTAGAGACGGGGTCTTTGGTGGTAGTGCGCGCGTAGTAGAAGTCGTAGGCGTCCATAGTCGGCCTTCTGGTGTAGAGGGTGGCCTCCGCTGACGGTAGCTGACAGACGACTGTGTAAAACTTCACGTCACGAGCCTGTAAGCGATATGAGACAAGGCCGTGGTCTGAAGTCCCGTCCTATGTTGACTCCTCCTCTCACAGTTTCACTCTACCGTCCGTTACTGTAAGTGTGGTGGCAAACACCGGGTCCTGTGAACAGCGATTGAATTTGCCGACTTCAGCTTCGCAATTACGAGAACGCGGAAATTTAGGTCTCCTATTGAGAGCTCAATTATCATGGATGTATAATACAATACCTCTGTAGCTAAGCATGGTTTATTATGCTCAAATCCAGACAAAAATCCAATATATGTATATCGTATCCGAATTAAAGTTATACGTTTGTAGAAAACGCGCACAACAATTTCATTACAAGAAGACACTGAGCTGTCGATATGGATGAGATGTTAGTAGCTACAGATTGGCCACTTAACGTCCACTTACCTTGCCCGTGAGTCGAGCTAATGTAGTAATAAACTTCTGCACGCGAGCTGGCCTGTATAACCGTGTGTATGTACAGGTCAGGTGGCCTGTGTTTGGGTAAGGCGTTATCAAACATTGATCCGGTAAACACCGTGCACGGCGACACAGGAAGCTAGGGCATGTACAAAGTAATGGATGCTGAGCAGGTATAAAACGTTTAAATAGTGAGCCGTAAAAGCTTGAAATTGGTCCCATTGTTGCATATGTTCTACAGCGGATGTATGACAGCTAATTGATTGGGGGCATTCGTAGGACAGTCGTGTCTGTCTCGCACAAAATGCAGCTGTCTTGTAATGGAAAATGCAGATCCTTGCCGACGGTTGGTTTTGTCACAGCTTCGCTAATAATCTTACGGCAAAGAAAGTTACGATGAACGGCATCTCGCCTTAACACTGGATTCTGCCAACATTCCGTTATTTTGCTAACAGCAATTCAAATGACTTTTCTAAGGGTAAAGACAGACATATATCAGAATATACTAAGCATTATAAAATTGGTCATAATTACGTTTTATAGTACAGTTGACAGTGGAAAAGGCACACGGAATGTTTGAAAGTTGACAGTACAAGATAACAGATCATGCCGGCTTCCTGTTGTTCACTTGTCTCCTATGTACCAGCTGCTGGCACCTGTACCGTACAGAGTTGACTATAAAGTACGTAGACATATATATTTACATGTGGTACGACAAGGCGACATGCACGGATTGACAGTGCACACTTTATGTGGAAAGTAAACTTCCGGCATGTTTCCCACTATGGTTTGTTATACAGTCTAGAATCCTGATCTTGAACAGTTTGTACCATCCAGTAGCTGTCTGTCTTTCTTCTGTAAGGCCACAGCAAGTAATTTTTATGGATGACATCAGGGCGCGCATTAATTTTCGCCTGATGTTAAAAATTAAAATTTCGTTGCCTTCTTTTTAGGATATCACCTAGAAAAATAAAAGGACTCATCTTGTGGCTTGTTTCTGCAGTTTTAAAAGTCCAAAGTATGAAATACTGACTCAAATGTGCTAATGTGAACAAGTATGTATCAACTTCACATAAGATTTTCTTATTCAGAATATTTCCAATTTTGCTGGCCTGAAATCGCATTGGATGCCTTTAATATAGCGTTTGTTTTGGCGGGCTTTACTCGTCTGATAAGAATGAGTTAATATGTAATAGCTCAAATCACGTTCTCTGCTTTGTGTTAAAGTAAACAATACCTGTGCGTTCCACTCTGAAGCTTTTATTGCGGCTCACTGCGTCACCACTACTTCACGTACAAAGCCATCCACGTTGAAGCTTAAGTAAACTTGATTAGAGAATAGCCGTCATAAAAGGGAAAGTACGCCTTAGGTTAATTGCTTGTTATTGTCCATAGTAGTTGTTTTTCCCACAGCGATAAGGAAAAATACGTCATGACCTGAAATAACCCGATTGCGATCTCAGACAACTTCCGTCTGTTTGTGTGTTGTAAACAGGAAGTGACGTAACACCTGTTAAAGTTGTCCCATGTGGATAGATTTGTTCATATTTGTGTTACGTGCTCTACATAAAACAATTGCACGTTTTTGACAACGTTGCAGGCCGCTTTTGACTGTACCAAGAGGGTTAGAAAAGAGCGCCCTTGACTGTATTAGGTATCAAAGACTACACTAAAGTGGCTAAGACTGTTGTTCTAGGATTCATCCGTCTATGCCCATGTATTTCCATTTATGTACGTCTAGATACCGTGTACTTTTTTTGTGGGAAATTGACTTAAATGTTAAGATATTTGTGGTGTGTGGTGGTTGCAACTATCTAAAGGTGAACCCTGGTATATTATGCAAATCAGGCCAATTTGGAATCCTCGGCTTCCTGAATTCCCCCAAGTCGGCCCTTAATTCTACTGGCTCCTGGCCAGATTCTGAGTTCTTTACCCCATTTCCTGAGTCTGACCTTTTGACCTCCTACCATCCTGCCTGTCAATCTTCCCCCACCACCTGCTGTCAATCTACTCTGTCCAGACAAACAAACAAACAGCCGACCAAAACTATACTTCCTAATAATCTCCAAGCAGATCTTTCGGTGAGGCATTATCCAATTGGCCAGTCTGTAACAATTTCCCACCGAAGATCTGGCGGCACTCGCAAGGGAAAATTGTTACAGACTGGCCAATTGTCTTGCCCCACCGAAAGATCTGCTTGGAGATTAACTTCCTAACGACTCAATGGTGCCAGCCCGGGAAGAAGTACAGGTCCTTGGTGAGCATGTTGACGGGCGCAGGCATCTGTTTGTGATGTTTGTCCGACTCGAACCTCCGCGAAACCTCATAGTTCACCTGGGATAATAGATAAATAAACAACCAGAACATCTACATGGAAGGGTGTTATAGAGTGTTAATGTCTCGCTACGAGGTGTGTATGGTGACATAATGCCCGGTCGCTTCCTATAACCAATTAAAATATACACCGCCTATAGCTATCACAATTGAAAAGTAAACTGTTTGCAACTTGCTATAGCAGCGCTGAGGAGAGAAGAGTATGAGGTCCCAGCTTCTATCCCTGTTCTATCCAGATCTGTGCCCGTTCATGCAAAGAACTAGGCAGGCACGGTTCTAGATACGACTATCCCCACTGTACTTGAGACAGGATTGTTTACCTTTGTCATGAGCTGGTTGATGTCCTTTGTAGCGGCGTACTGCAGGAATACAGACACCAGCACCTGGATAAACCACGAGCCGCCCGCACAGTCCCGCCAAGAGACGTGCCCTACAACAACATAGCAGGAGGTTGGGAGAAACTTCTAGTCGTACTACACTATACACTGGCATGCGCAAAGCATTTATTAGTTCCTTACCATTAGAACAGAAATATGCACACTTGCCGAAAAGAAAATTGTTCAAACATATTTAACGAAATACTTATGATCTTTTGAAAACATAATTTTACCTACCCGGAGTGGTGGAGTAGGCCAGGTACACGTCGGTAAGGTTCGGCACCCGAGCGGCGAAGGTCCGGTTCGTATCCGGAATGGCGGTCTCATCTTTCCGGAAAGTGTCTCCGGAATCAGTGGCGAGAGATCCGGGGTCTTTATCAGCTATGACAAAAGAGACGAAGTAATCAATATACATGATTGTTTGGTGTAACTGCCTCGTGGTCTTTCCTATTTTGTTTGATTTTCCTTCCATGAGAAAAGTTAAGCGCCTCTTTTCACTTGTCGATTATGATTATAACATGCTCACAGTAAAGGCCACAAAACCTGACACACCGTTGCAATGCAAAGAGAGGCGCTAGGCGCAATCTAGCCAGTTCTTCAACACTTCAAGTCCTAACCATTGATCATTACAACCATGTTGTCAAAGACTTTGTGCTTATGATGAATAGGGTTGTCCAAATCAAAGAAAAAAGCAACAGACGACACGATACTCACTGCCTCTACATGCCTGCATGAAGAAGACTTTAGGTTTGGAGCCGAGTTCTGGGCAGTTGTTCCGGTCGAACTTGCGGAGGATGTCGGCGTGCGAGAGGAGGCGCTCGTCCGTACTGTACACACCGTCCTCTCCGCCGTGACTCAGGATGGCGACCAGACAACACTGGGACTGGGTGTGGCTTCTCTGGGCAAAATCCTCCAGAACCAGGTTCATCACCTAAAAAATAAGGCCGAGGGTGAGGACAGAACGTCTAAAACGGTCGGGAACACCAGAAGGACCAGCTAAACTATTGCACAACAATTGTACAAGGTACAAAGTATGCCAGCTATTGGTACATAGCTACAGTAAAGGCTACGTAATGGAAAAGTGAGTAGTATGGGATGAGAATGTAATACGACTTGAAAATGGGCTATTACCAAAGGGCTAGTCTGAGTCTTTCAATGGCCGTTGACCGTGTGTACTGAAGTAGTCTTGCTCCCCTCAGTTACTCAGTACGGTCCCGACGTCGTCGTACAACGCCCTCTTGTGACCCAAGCGCTCGCCTCCGTTCAGGACACCTACAGTTATATAGGGACGACTACCTTGTTATCTAGACATCACTACCCACTACCCACCGGCGCCCGGAGGTTGTTCCATCTCTCCGTGGTGAAGTACAGCGCCTCGAACAGCCGCTCCAGGTTCTCAGCGTCCACGTCAGTCCCGTGTCGCGTCGCCATGGTAACAAAGTCCCTGTTGTTGATGATGAGAGCGTCTCCTCTGGGCTTCTTCCACATCGGGTAACACTGAAAGAGGAGGGTCGGTGAAATGATAATTAGTCAGCGTACGAGGACGTACGCTAGTTGGAAGGAGGGGGATAGTGTAACGGTCATGTAAGTGTTCAAAACGCTAAACCTGAAACATTACAACAGTGCCCTGAAATTACATTGGATGACAAAGTTCAAGGCAGCACAATATATATATGATGGACATCTCAATATTTCTAATATTTTCTTGAAGATTTCTCTAAGGTTTCTACTCGTACCTCGCCATTGTCCAGTGCAGAAGTGGGGTCGTGTGCAACTTGGAGCCATCGTGTGACGTCGTACAGGCCGTGCTCGTCGGGCTGCGGTAGTAAACCGCTAGGCAGCGCTGGTTCCTGGACGACAATCGTGGATGCCGACGATTGTACGCGCCTGCCGACACACGCAGCTGCGGTTAGCTGGAAGCTCCTCTCTGGTATCGGCACTTGGAGAGAATAGGAGGGTTCTTCCTGCTCTACTGGCTGTTGGAGGGAAGGTCTGGACCTCGGTCCTGGGAAAGACGTAAGACAGAATCGAAAGAGGATGAAACGCCTTCAATGAGGCTCTTCAGGTGTTTTGGGGATAACTTGTAAAAAGTAAAAAAAAAAAACTGACAACGAAATCGATGCCATACATCTGAACACTTTGAACTGAGTGTTATACGTCAAAAGTTTTACAACAAGAAATACGTTGGAAATACAACAGAAAGAATTAGTAACTTACGACTCATGTCGACCACGACCTCTCGGTCCCGACACAGCAGCTTCAGCGGTTGGGAAGTGTCGGGAAACTCTTCTCCCGACTCCACTACCTCCACTACATGCATGCGGCCGGGCTCGGTACTGCAGCCTAGGTGTGGAGGAGGGTGGGGACATCTCGGGCCGATGGTGTACATCAGACACGGGAAATCCCTCCGCCTGATCGTCTCCAGTTTGCCGTGCAGTTCGCCGATGAGTTGCCCGTCGGCGGCGGTGGAGGTGGTCTTCTTGACGGTGATCTGGATGAGGTGCTGGTCGGTGGTGGGTCGGACCAGCTCCAGGGTGAAGTAGAAGCGGCGGTGGAGCTGGAAGCACGCCCTGTCCCTGAACACGAACGGCGCGCCTCGAGCGCGGATCCTAAAGTCCGTCTCACAAACAAGCTTGGCGACCAACCGGTAGAACACCGGGCTGGGCTCGAACGAATCAAAGTCGATGTAGTATTCAACGTTGTCATCATCGTGGTGTTTTTCTAAGAAGCCTCCTGGTTGGTCAGCTTCGTACCGAGGCAACATTGGTGGGACGATGTACATCTGCTTCTGTTGTGCGATCTTGTCGGCGGGGTGTTGGGGTAAGGGGCACAGGAAGGCGTGCGACACTAAGAGAGTCGTCAAGACGTCGGCGTGGTCGGGTTTTACTTCGTTCAGAACTTCTCTGAGATAGTCTCCGTCCAGAATGCCCTTAGCTTGCAGGAGCGCGTGTCTTTCTCGGTACGTCGGCAGCTCCGCGCAGCGTCTGGGGAGAGTTGTGATGCTTTTCATGGCGTCTACCATGACCTGTGGGTCAACAACAACGTACTGACTCAACACCGCGTCTTCCTGGCGATAGATAACTTGTCCAGATCTGTTTAAGAACGATAACATCCGTCTGAAGTCGTCTTCGTCGTCCAGAATGCCTTCCTGCCGGACTTTGTCCAACAGGTCGAGGTAGGGTACCACATGGGGGTCCCCATTGGTCCGCAGGGTGTTGATGACGTCAGAGAATCGCTGCCATTTGATTGGACATTCCCTCTTCATGTAGGCGACCTGTCGCATCTTCTCCCACACCACCCTCCGCAGACGCGCGAAGTCCTGGTCCTGTAGCGGTGCGGAGTTCTCTACAGGAAAGTACGGCGTGTCTGTACTGTTGACCACGAGCCGTGCGCTGTACTTGGTTCCCGTGTACAGGTGTGTCCTCAGGAAGGTCGCCACTTCCTGCTGCTGGGCTGAGGAGACGCTATCTCTGTGTGTCCCCACCACGAACACGAGAGACTCCGTGTCACTGGAATGTGCGTCAATGGAGTCTAACCAGAACAACAGCCTCCTGAACGTGTTCTGGAGACTTCTCGTGGCTTCTTCTTCGTCTTCTTCTCCTTCTTCGCGTCTTCTTCTTCTGAAGGCTTCCTCTAGGCTGAAAACCACGATGTAAACAGCCTCTCGCGCCATGAAGAAATGGTGCATGCTGTAGAAGTCCTCGTCACCAGCAAAGTCCATCAGCGTCAGCTTGACTGGCACCTGTTCTACCAAAGTCTTCTCCTCCGCTAACTTGTCATGAACAACGACATACTCAGAGTTGAAGAAAACACTCTTCTTGTCGTACAAATCTGTAGAGACAAAGAACGCTACCGCCACCAGTACAGAGAGGGGACAGTCTTTTAAAGTGTAAAAACTCCACCCAAAGAGGTTTGCAATGATGAGCGTCGTTGCCACTTGTACTGGGAATGATACGAGTTGAACGACCCAGAAGTATTGAGCCGTCATTTTCGACGAAAGCCATTTCTGCGCCTTGATTGTGCAAGAGATCCCGATGCCGAGATGTAGGCCTACTAAAAACATCAACATACAGGCCTCTAGTCTTTCGTCTGTGATCATGACCGGTAGAACGATAGTGGCTAGGCTGAATAACAAGTAGCTTAAGAAAGTCCCGCGCTTGGACGTGATGAGAATGTGCCTGAACTGAAACATGGTCAGGCCAATCACGCTCCCTAGCGGTTCGTATAGAAATGCATCTTGAAGAACATGACCGGTTGAAGTCGTCGCCGTCCTGAAGTGAAGTAGCCCGACAGCTCCGAACTCCGGACACGGCACGACGAGACACAGCATGACGTGCATGATCCTGAACGTGAAGGGGAACACCACAAAGCCTTCCGTGTTGCAGAAAACGAACGTAACCGCGACGCAGAAGACAAGGCCCTGCAGAGAGAACGGCCCCACCGACAGAACAGGGCCAATCGACCGATACAGGCCTTCTACCCCGTTTTTCATGACTCCTATGAAGACACTGTTCACAGCGATAGCGGAGGCTATCCTCGTGGCGTGGTAGAAATCAGAGCTGAGCTGCATCATGGCGATAGTGCAGGTCAAAATCAGCGACGCAACCGCGTAGCCAACTTCTGATCCAAACTCCAGCGTCGCCACAGTCAGAAATGACAGTAGGAAGTAAAACAAGGCAGATTTAACCAGACTACTCAGATCTTTCGTAGCGCCTGTTCTCGGACGTTCTTTACTTCTCTGCTTGACGTACCAAGTCAGACTCCGGCTGAAGTCGGACTCTGTTTGCCGGTAACTTGTCCAGGTCTGGTCCACGTCTTGTGTCTCCACCATCTTGGTTTGTATGCCCTCCGTCCGGCCCTCGTGCGGGTTGAACTCCTGTCCTGTCAGTCGTCTCTTCAGACTGGTCTTCCCCTGCCACGTGTCTCCTACAAACAGTACCTTGCTCCTGTTAAAGGGCAGTTTCCCATGTTCTGATCCCTCCCGCACGTCCCGGTATTTCTCTCTCTCCTTGTCCTCCCGGAAGATCTGTTCTGTCATGACCTGTTTTCTCCACATGGCGGCGCTCGTGTCACGTCACTGCACGAAACGGTCTCGAACTGAGGAGGAAGTTGGAAACATGAGAACCACAATGTATCTTTAATATATAGAGTAAAAAAAGTAAAGTGAATCATCTGAGTGAACTTAAATTTGAGGCTAGACTAGCAACCAGTTTCCCTGGTCTGATCACATGACTACACCTTCATAACAGACAGATGGACGAATTCAACCAATGATAGAACTTGACTTTGACTTGACTATAATAATACATATTCTACCCAATCATCAATATGTACTTCAGAATCTCTAGTTAGTACGATCATGACTTAGCGCCATCTACCGACCAGTCAAGTTATGACATTTTGAGCCAACATCACATGACGGAGCAAAATAGTCGACGACTGGACGTCGTTACATATGTCATAAGTATGAAAAGGCAGAAAACTTGACGGAAGGTATCCTGTACCCTACCAGTGAAATTCTATACGGGAAAAGCTGTAGACGGCCGGATATTCGCAGGGGAAGAATTCTCCGAAATGCGGAACTGAAACTTCTTCACATGACAACACACTCCTGGCCAAGAATGACGTCACAATGTCTTAAGAATAGCAGAGGTGGTGTGAGGTGGTGTGACAGGTATGACCACATGATATATGCATATGTATGAACTTTTAAGGTCTTTAGGCTGAACAATTTGTTTACATTGGTCAGGAGATTTCGAATCAAATACCGAAAAATCATTCACCAACCTAATGAAATTATTCATGGCTGTAAACATTGAAAACTTAAAAGTCAGAGATGCCCCACACCAACTCTATTCTGGCACATAATGCACGTAAATTCTACTGTAGTACGTATACATGTATATGTGTGATATCCTCTACTACCAGACTTCAGCAGCGACTAGAAAGAGTAGAAATTGGTCAAATATGCAGATAACATGCCAGGGAAGTTGGTCTGCTAAAGGAGTGTTTGCCGCTCCCTGGCATATTATCTGTCTGTTTGCCCAATTTCTAGTTTTTTCAGCCGCACCCAAGGCCTGGTAGAGGCTAACAGCCGAGGGAGAAGTGTAGTGGTGACTAGATATACTAGTAACCAGCCACCGCCGAAACTATACTATATAGACCACCGGGCCATATTCAGTCACACATGAGCACAGTATAATGTGTGTCAATTGACGAATTGTTTACAAAAGACAAAACGAAAACACAAACGTGTGAACGTAGCTCACCTGTTTTGTACGTTGCACAGAAACTGCGACAGAGAACTGACAGTTCCGTATGTACAAGTGTTTGTGAAGCCTCTCTCAATCGGTCATGTGAAAACTTGTCACTAATCTGGGGTGATCTAATGTCACATTGCCTGATCCGGAAATGCGCATACGGCATGCACTGGGCAGTACAACTAGTTCATCTACCTGTGGTCGAAAACACATGCTTGTGCCGCCTTTGTTATTCTACACGGTAACCTGTTTTGACTTGCTGCGGTGAACCGTGTCGTATGACACCTGAGCCTTAATGTTTGAGTCGAAATGGGCCCTCCGATCCTTGAAAGGCACGGTCACTTTTCGTCATATGGTTTTCGAAAACTTTCGCCGGTTCTTAGCAATGCTATGGCACAGCCGACAAGGTCCTATAAGACAGCCTTACTTCGTCACAAGACAGGTGGTTTTTGTACGACACATACACAACTGTCAAAAGCATCATCTCAATCTGCTCTTGTACTGCGAATATGACCGGAAACTCAGTCGATACTTCCGCGATTTCCGCGTATCGGCCCAAAATGTAGCACTTCCGATAAGTTATCCAGTGTGGGCGGGACAACGCTTTCCCTAAAGCCTGGATGCCAGGCTGTTTCCATGGTCTATACCGGGATCAGCTCTTGGGCATATGTGCCTGCAAGGGAATGTTTAAAGTCCCACGTCCTTCCTCCACCCCCAAACGAGACCCCGAGAAAGACACTGATAAAATTTCCTTGGAGGCACGTTGGCCCTAAGCCGAGGAGCTAGCTGGCCTGTGTATGTCCTGGAAATAGTCTGGCGTCCAGGTTGTAAGGGGATATCTAGGGGTGCTACATTTCGGGGCAGTAGCAACTGAAAGACCTACCACGTTCACAGTATACGATAGGTTTATATTGGTAAATGGAGGAGTTTCTTGTCACAGTTGTAGATTTGCCGTATAGATAACACGCTACACCCATAGTCGGCTATTAAACACCAATACACAGCGACCAACTGTTCAGTGTGAATATATAAGAGATAACAAGATGTAAACCTCTCTTCTCTGTTGTTGATATTTTGTTTACTCTGAGCCCAATTATCGTGGGACTTTTCATTAGCCACTACCGACTGTAACATCTCGCATCGCGCGCTCACACAAGGCACACTCAGTTTGTGGTACCACCACAAAATACAAGAACATGGCTGACCGCTGTGTTTCCAACTTTTAAACCCACTTGTAAGGAGTCATATTTAGCACCTCCACTTCCTGAATGGCACTTATTTGCAATGGAGCAGGGTTGATTTAGCTTATTTTGTAAAGAAATTACCAGAAAATTTACTTTTTGCATCGTCCTGATGTTACTTAATGCAGCTTTAAAATCGGTACAAATCAAACACCCGGTGTGAATCCCCCGAACACATGTAACACTCAGTTCTATGGACACGTATAAAATAACCTTGAATAACACACATAGGAAAGCGTGACGTGGACACCAACAAAACAGGCTCGTAATCCAGACAATTACGTCTTTAATAACACCCGTTCACACCAGGCATTTTCAACATTTTCTGCTGAGATTGAAGTTCTTTGATGTCCGACTGGTGAATTCCTGGTGAGCAAGCCATTCATGCTTTGGTGCGAGGCTTGTTTCGCACTGAGATTCTTCTGTTTAATCAAGTTGTAATAGTCTGCGAGCGAGTGGAGAACTGTTTGCGTTACTTTCCAAGCAGAGGTTGATAGGGGAAGATCATTACCTTTTTATATATCTCCCGTTTTTTGTGGGGGTAGCGACAAAACAACGGGGGATATATAAAAAGGTAACGATCTTTCCCCATCAACCTCTGCTTTGAGGGTACGTAATACTATGTTTTAGTATCCTTGTGCCAAACATCAGTATGTAGCTGAAGCCCCTATCTCACATTCAGAACCTTCCCCCGACCATGCACCAACCAACCAAGGTTGGCTAAAGTTCGGGTGCAGTCTGAACAGATTTAGGCTACGCCTGCCCTTTCTATGCGAATTGAATCAAACTTGAGTTAAATTGGAGTCAAATTTGACCCCCGCCCTCAATGGCCGAACCTCTCATACACACCCGAGTGTTGTGCGCGCGCGCGCGCGCGTGTGTGTGTGCATGTGTGTGTGCGTGTGCCTTGAAACATAGGCTGACACATTCGACCAGTAGCCAACCTTGCAGACCAACTGCCAACCACGTCCAAACTTACTCACGACAAACTCCCAACCCTGGTGTCTGGAGTTGGTTGGGACTCTTTCACACAAATATGTGAATAATATTCTCTCTCCATCCCTCAATCCTTTGGTCCCTCATGAATTAACATCAAACTGCGTACAAAAAGCCGCCTGATTAAGAAACACACCGGTAACGTCCTGTCAGTCTTGTGAGGCATTTTCTCAAACGAATGCCAAACTTTTCCACCGCGTACGCGACATAGCACACCGTGTGACTGACGGCTGGATAGCCGTTGCCATGGCTACGGACCGAGAGTGTTGGGAAGTGAGGATCGCTTGTTTAGAACAAATTCAGAGATCTGCCGAGGAGAGAGCAGAGACGACAACTCGCCCGTTTTTCCCGCCCAGCCAACACAAGATGCGAAAATGAGGATGAACAACCGCCGCCGTCTGATCCATCGGTAAGCTAGAACAGTTAGCCACATTCGGCGTACGATTTTGTTTTTGTGGTAGGATTTCAAATTTCAGCGAGGCTACGAAGTAACCAGCCGTCGACAAGGATCTACGCACCCAAAGCGCGTCAGGGCATTAAACTGGATTTTCAAAGTCAATTATAGTTAATGGTGATTTTATTTTGGACACAAGCCAAGTAGATACACATACGTATACGCATCTCAGTCTCCGTTTTAACATGGTTAGATTAAACTAATTTTTGTTCTACACTATTTTCAGCGATTGCTGGCCGTTTTCCGGGCAGTCCCTGTCGGCACGCAGCCCCCCTGCCGTGCGCTCGGGAACAGGTGGACGGGACCAGCGTCCCCCGCCGCCGGTAACTATTCCCGGATTTTGTATACTAGTATTAGAGTCAGAAAGTAATTTTATAAATCAAACAGAAAGTCTTTCTTAATGCTGCTAAACGTACGCGTGACGCAGTGGAACGATCATTTCAAGTCTTGTGTAGGATTCGATACGTTCTGTACAACAATATTTTCTTCTCTCACAGTTAGTAGGATACTTCTCATGTCATTACATGTGACGGGTGAACCTCTCCAACGATTTTCTTCTTTATTGTAAAGTTTCGGAAACCAAATTATGGTGATAATATGATAATAATGCTTTTCATCGCATGAGAGCTAATTATAAGAGCTGATTATTGATGTTTTTTTTTACAGTGGGGTGACGTCCCGCCAGTCGGCCACCCACCGGCCAAACCTCCGGACGACTGCCGGGGTGGCGGAGCGGGGTACGCCGGGACCGCGCACTACGGAGGCCGCGGTCCGGGGTACGACGACACCGCTGACTAGGGTAAGTCTGTCCTCAAAGGCAATTTCAGGGCGGCAAAACTGGACGTATTCTAAATAAGGCAATCTGTATGATGTTGACACATACTATCCCACATTAGCACATTTGAATCAGTATTTCATACTTTAGGCATTTAAAACTGCAGACCAAGATTAGTCCTTTATTTTCTGGGTGGTACCCTGAAATCAATTCAGGTCCGTCCAGTAATCGTTTTTCGTCAGAATTTTGGGCATTTTTGCTCCATGAATGTCGATATACATTAGTACAGTGTTGTTTCAACTTAATATTTAGATAAGTGACTAGAATATTGACTTTGAAACATCTGGTTTCCAAGTCCTAAAAACTGAACTGGATGCCTTTAAGCTTGTATGCTATCCTGGTCATTTCCATTGTGCTATACCGGCGATAGATAGAGTATCTATATGACCTGCATATAAGACAAAAAGATTACACTGATTCCCATTCATTTTTCAGGTGAGACAGCCGGCCTGTTGCACACCCGCCCTGAAAGTGGGTAAAACCAAAGCGGCCTTCGCAGACAACAGAAACTAGAGAAAAAGGCTTTGTATTAAGTCTAGTCATTACTTGGGT